TAAAGATGATAAAAAAGATAGAAAGAGAAAAAGAGAGGGAAAGAGAGAAAGAAAGAGAAAATGAGAAAAAAAATTAAATGAATAAAACGTTGCAGAAACATTTCCAACGTGATTTATATGCACGGTTGATGGTCATCAATTAAATTTCTCTTCCTACGAACTTGCCAACTTCATTTTTATAAAAAAAATCACCAAGAAATCATCCACCTCCTCCTCATCATCTCATCATCATCATCTTCTTCTCCATCATTATCATTATCATCATCATCATTATCATTATCATCATTATCTTTTTCATCATCATTATCATCATCATTAACTTACCAGCTAGTAACACTGCCAAGTAAATATGCCCAAACTGTTGCAAAATAGACATCGTCAATGAAATTTATTACTACTATAATTACCACTACTGAAGCTACTACTACTTCTACTACAACTACTGCTGCTACTACTGCAGCTGCTACTACTACTGCTGCTGGTGTTGTTGCTACTACTGCTGCTACCACTTGTAGTACTACTAAAACTTGTTATAAATGAAACATTTATCAAATTTTTTTAGTAGCATTTTTTAAGTAATGACTGTATTCTTATATTTATGGAATAAAATAGTTGTTGTTATTATTATTATCATTAATGTTATTATAATGTTACTCGCTCTACTATGGTCTTCCTGACTCTATACTCTATCCTTTAAGTAAAGCTTTTAACTCTGCTGCTCGTCTAGTTGCTCGTGCCCCTTTCTTTTCTCATATATCTCCATATCTTGTTCTCTTGCACTGGCTACCTATAAAATATAGAATAATTTTTAAAAATTGCACGTTCATGTATAAGTCTCAATCTAAATTATTTCCTAAGTATTTATCAGATATATTAATTGAACCTAAACGCCCCGGTTTACGATCGTCTTCTTCTTCTCGCTTTTTCTTAACTCGTGTTAAACACTCTTTTGCCAAATCTGCTTTTGCTTTTTCTGGTCCTTTTCTCTGGAACTCTCTACCTATTTCTCTGACTACTTCTCCATCACTTGCGAAGTTCAGAGCGGATCTCAAGACCCATCTGTTTTCAAAATTCATTGAGGAGCGCTGTTGAACATCGCGAAAATAGCGCTTTATAAGCTAATTGATTGATTGATTGATAGTAGTAGCTGTAGTAGGTGGTAGTTGTAGTAATAGTAGTAGCAGCAGTAATTTGTTAAGTTTTACAATTTCATTAGTCCATAAATAGATTTAATTGATTCATCCATTTGTTATGATACTTGATTATTATTCGACCATAATTTTTTTAATTAGTAATTAATACGTTTAATTATTCAACAATAATAAACATTTTTTTTCATTCTGTCTATCCATTCATTCATCCATCTATCCATTTTTGAGAATGCATTTATTTTTATGCGTTTAGTTCACTGTTAAGTGCATTGAGAAAATGTTTATGTAGTCTCGAGAACCAAATTTAAAACAAGCTGTATGTATGTATGTATGTATGCATGTATGTATGTATGCATGCATGCATGCATGTATGTATGTATGTATGTATGTATGTATGTATGTATGTATGTATGTATGTATGTATGTATGTATGTATGTATGTATGTATGTATGTATTATTATTATTATTATTAAAGAAAAATTTATAAAGCGCCAATTAAAAGTTAAAATTCTCAAAAGCGCTATCTAATATCAATAAAAAACAAATGAAACATAAGTGACATGTATGTATGTATGTATGCATTTATGTATGTATTCTGTCTTTTATTCTCTCATTCAATCATCCAAACATCAATTTTTTAATTCAACCTACTTTTTTGATACAGACAATGAACATCATCATGTTGTTTGTGTGTTTGTTTTTTTATAAAAAATTAATAGATTTAAAAGACGAGAGGACGAGATAGATAAATGAAGAAAAAAAGAAGCAAGAGAGAGAGAAATAGAAAGAGAGAAAGGGAAAAGGAGAGAGAGAGAGAGAGAGATAAAAGAAAGAGCCAGAAAGAGAAATAGGCAGATAAAAAATGTATTTAAAAAACAAGAAAGCGTGATAGACAATGTGAAAGAAAACCAAAGCAAAAACATATAGAAAGAAAAATGAAGGAGAAAATAGGAAAAAGAAGAAAAAGTAAGAGAGAGAGAGAGAGAGAGAGAACGAAAGATAAAACCATTTTGACATGTTGCAAAGGAAAAAGGAATCACAACCATATCATCTCTATCAATCTATCTATTTACTCATTTATCTATTTATTTGTCTGTTTATCATTTATTTTGTTCTTTCATTTGTTTGTTTACTCATACACATTCATTCATTCTTTTATTCATTCGTCTTCAAAGAGACGGCAAAACGCTTAATGGATGCTTCCAAACAAAACAGCAAAAAAAACCCTTATTCGTTCGTTCATTCACTCGTTCATTCATTCATTCGTTCGTTCGTTCGTTCATTCATTCATTCATTCATTCGCCCATTCAATTTTTTATCTGGCTGCATGCATGGAGTAGAAAATTGACATTCACGTCAGTTAGTCGAGTAAAACTCGTGACGTATCTCGATGAGCAAGTGAGTCAAGGCGTTCTCGAACGTTCGCATCCTACAAACAAGTGAACGAACTAACAAGCAAACTTTTGAACAAACATGCAAACAAACAAACAAACGAATGAACGACTGGACGAACAAAAAAACGAACAAATAAACAAACGATTGAACATTTAGATAAATGTTCGAACAGAAATGAAAAAAAATTAAATACATTTTCATAATCGAGTTAATGACCAAACAAAACGAACAAACGAACGAACGAACGATTGAACTACTAAATAAACAAATAAATGAATGAAGAAAGGAAAGGAGGTATAAATAAATTAAGAAAGGATTGATTGATAGAGTGCAAAACCCCATTGGAAATGAACTGAAGAGAGTGCTCTTCCTAATACATCAACATTTTTACTTCTTATTTACAGCACTTTTACCGCCTCACATCTCTCACTCTTTTTTTCTACATCTCTCATTTTATCTCTCTCTCTTTCTCTCTCTCTTTTTCTCGTAATCTTTCTAAAATTTTATTCGTTTTTCCTAATCCATCTTCTCTCTTCCAAGCAATCAAGATTTTTTCCTCCATTCAGTTTCTATTCTCTTTCCAACCATCCATCACATAATTTTTATTTTGTCGTACAAAAACTTCACCTATAGCTTTGTGTTCTCTCTCTCTTTTTCCCTTTCTCTCTCTCTCTCTCTCTCTCTCTACGGTTTCTGTGATATATATTTTTTGCTAGATGTCATCATTGATACCGCATTAAAATCAAATAAAAAAATGATTGGTTTCTCTAGTGATCGCATTCATCACGTGTATGTGTTTTTGTGTGTATGTGTGTGTGTGTGTGTTTGTGTATGTGTACGTGTCTCTCTTCCTCTCTTTTTCTATGTCCATCTCTTTCTTTTTTCTCTTTCTTTCCTCTTACAGATGGCACTTCAATTTTCTTTCCAACTAATTTTCTCAAATATGCCTCCATCATGCTATTTGTTATGTTCGTACTGTGGTTGTTTATATGTATGTATGTATGTATGTATGCATGTGTGTGTGTATATATGTATGTGTGTGTATATATATGTATGTGTGTGTGTGTGAACGTATGTATGTGTACGTTTGTATGTGTGTACGTGTGTGTAGTCATCTGCACACGAAATGAAATTGCATCGGGAACAAAATAAGATGGGAAAAAATGATGAACAGAAATTTTCTACGCTCCTTTTCTGATTTAATATATGTAGAATACATATATATGTGTGTATGTACGTGTGTGTGTATGTATGTTTGTATCTTGTATGAATGTATGTACACACGTAGGCATACATACGTGTATAGGTATGAAAGCCCGCTTGCTTTGTATCTGAACTTTACGCACATCCGTATAAATCGATCGATTCCAACTTACTCGATTTAGAAGGACTGTATGGACAAGAACAACAACTATGAATGGATGGATGGATGAATGAATGATAAGTGATTGGATGAATGAATGAATGATAAGTGAATGGATGAACGAATGAATGATAAGTGATTGGATGAATGAATGAACGATAAGTGATTGGATGAATGAGCGAAAAAACGAACAAACGCCAGATTACATAACAAATACATACAGACCACAGATACGTTAATATAAAGTATTTTAACAAACTAACAATTTTGATTGAAACATCACCTTCATTAAAAAGGTTAAGAGAAAACTTTGCAAGACACTCTAGTCTATATCAGGTATTTGTGATTTAGTTAGATACAGTGCATGTTTGTTTTCGTGGCGATAGAGAAACACACAAACACAGACAACAATATGAAGAATTAAAACTGCAAACATCAATTGATGTGAACAAAAAAAAGAGCCTGGCGCGTTCAGAAAAATAATTCATTCATCAAAATCGCTCGATAAAGGATGATTTATTTTTGATATAAATTATTTCGAAAACGCATCTTGAAACAACTAACACTGCTACTTCTATTACTACAGTTACTACAGCTACTACTACTACTACAGTTACTGCTACTACTACAGCTACTACTACTACTACTACACTTACTACTACTACTACTACAGTTACTATTACTACATCTCTGCCACTACTACTACTCTACTACGTGATAGAGTCCATTGGCACAAAAGTACCTGGCACTGTCACCCAATGACCGGGTTTGAATGCAAGGAAACCCTCACCCATTGCACGAAGTAAGTGTTATGCGGCCATCTCTACTGTAGCTAATGCATTTCTTTTACTGATGACAATAGTAATAATACTGGAAGATGACAACGAATTTGTGACAAGTATTTTTGTTAACTGAAAATTATAACAGTAATTATTATTATTGTTATTATTAATTATATTAATTAATTATATAACCCCCGATCTCGGGGAAAATGCCGTCTAAACGTGTGTTGTTGTTGTTGTATTAATTATATTTTCACTATTTTTATTGTATATATAGGTTTGTGGGCAGTGGAAATTCATAATTCATTTCACGGAACGCCTGACACGTTAGTGACGCTTCCATCTTTACGCTCTGACCTAATTTCAGGAGGTCGTCTTGAATCTGGGTCGGGAGGCTAAATGAATGAAGGAATGAGTGAATGAATGAATTAATAAATTAATGAATGAGTGAATGAATGAGCAAATGAAAAAAGAAAAAAGTAATTAAATGAATGAGTAGTCCCCAGAAAATGAATTGATGAATGAAGTGACTGAATGAACTTATAAATAAATGAATGAATGAATGAATGTAAACTCAAGCAACAAACAAAAACGAGAACAAAAAAAATCCAAACCAAAAACAGCAGTTGAACATGCCACTGATAGTTAACAGAAATTCTCTCAAAACCATAGGCTGAATCAGTCGCTGCAGCTGCTGTCGTTTCTGGGCTTTCCCATCATCATCATTCCTCCCATCATCATCATCATCATTCCTCCCATCATCATCATCATCATTCCTCCCATCATCATCGTCATCATTCCTCCCATCATCATCATCATCATTCCTCCCATCATCATCGTCATCATTACCATCACTTCCATCATCATCACTGCCACCATCGTCAGTTTTACGTTTCTTACAGCTTCTTTTCTTATTACAACTTTTCTTTACATTACTATCACTATCTTCAATATTAGTAGTAGTAGTAGTAGTAGTAGTAGTAGTAGTAGTAGTAGTAGTAGTAGTAGCGGTAGAAGAGGCAGTGGTGACCTTACTTTTACTGGACAAGACTGCTCGCCAAAAAATTTGTAAAAGTTTGACTACTTTTTTTACTATAAGTAGCCAAGATGATGACGCAGATGATGAAAACAACGATAATGATAATGATGATGAGGAGAAGGAAGATGATGAGGAAGATGAGGAGGATTTCTTGGCCATATTCCCCTTGTTTGTAACCCTGTAGAGAAAGGTTTTTGAGGATTTTGAACTAGAAAATGGATTGTAAAATCAAATTAAAAATTTCTAAAACCAATCAACCAACCAACCAACCATCAAACAACCAACCAACCAACCATCCAACCAACCAACCAACCAACCAACCATCCAACCAACCAACCAACCAACCAACCGATTAACTTACACAGCACTTATCAGCCAGGACATAATTGCCTTCCTCTTAATGAGATCCCACACAACTGATCTGGAGTTCCCGGATATCGATATCAGGATGTCCAAGATTTGTAACTGATGATGAGGGTAATAATTAAAATAACAGTGATGATGATAATTAAAATAAAACTTCTGCTTCTGATAATGATGATGAAATCTACCATCGTCATCATCGTAAACAGATGTCACAATCATCATCGTCGTCATCATCATCATCATCGTCATCATCATCGTCATCACCATCATCATCACCATCACCCTTATCATCATCATCATCTCAACCGGCCTCACTACCTAACCTTATAAGAATGGTCACAAAATGGCGAATGATAGAAGGACAGTAAGGATCTGAAGACCTTTCTCCTTTTACACAAATGATAGTCTTTCGTCTCCCTCAAGCCATCCAATAGGATTGACAAAAACCATGATTTTTCCTTTTTGTGCTGTGTGTGCGTATGCATGTAGGTGTGTGTGTGTGTGTGTGTGTGTGTGTGTGTGTGTGTATGACGTGCATATGTGTGTATGTTTGTTTACTGTACGTGAGTATGTGTATGAATATAGGTGTCTTCTTATATGTACGTCTTATACATATATTGTGTGTGTGTGTGTGCGTGTAAATGTGTATTATGAATATATTAAAATTGTTTTAAAAATGTAAATTGTTGGCCCAAACTTTCAGCCAATCAGAACGAAAGAAACTTACCTCGAAGGAGGAGCTATAGAAAAGTTTGTAGAATTCTGGGATGTCATCCAAGGCCAAGGCAGGTTTAAGAAGGAGGAATTGGTTGACGATGTTGTACATGTGGTGGTCTGGGGTTTGTGGTTGTTGTTTGAATGATGATGATGATGAAGATGATGATGATGATGAGGAGGAAGAGGATGATGAAGAAGAAGATGTATAAAACCATAACAAAATAAAAACTCAATTAAATCCACTTTTAAAGTCTTACCCGGCTTAAGGAGCACCCCAAGGGCCCTAACCAAAAAACATGAAACTACGCAGGGTAACTTCCCCTCCGAACTATCCAGTCCATTTTTTAAAGCATCCAATAAGCAAACGATCTGATCTCTATCTGCAAATTTAGAGCTTTCTAATTGCTCGCGGTACTTAGATAGGACACGCCCACCGAGGACTCTCATTGGTTGCTTGTGGCTGGTCAAGCTGGCAATAGCCAATGAGAGGCAGTTTTTTTCGGCGAATTTTCTGCAATCAATTTCTGAGCCTAAAAAGATAATAATTTTTTAATAAATTATAATAAAATATTAACTAAAATGAATTAAATCATGAAATTGTTTGAGTATTTGAGATAAAAATGAATAAAAATAAAAAAATGTCCACAAACTTTCATTGAGAAGGTAGGAGAATGCAGTTAGAAAGTAAACGGGATTGTACAGCTTGCTTGTTACTTTACGATTTTTAATCTTTTTGATGTTGTCGTCATCCCCGTCTCCGTCATCATCATCATCATCATCATCATCGTCGTCGTCGTCGTCATTGTAAGGAAGATTGGTGTTGCCGATCCAACTCGTTGTGTCAGTGGAGAACTGTTTCGAATCATTATCATTAACTTCGTCATCATCATCGTCGTCATCATCACGGTTATCATCATCACCATTATCATCGTCATCATCATCACCACTAACATCAACAGAACATTCCAGAGGGAACTTAATTGCAGTCCTAAGCATGACGTCAGCATCTAAGAAATCCACAAACTCATTCAGGCCATGATCCACAAGGGTGCCAACGAAGAGAACTTTTTTGGAGGCTTCGTAGTCCAATGACCTCTGACCCCAATAAAAAGGTCTGTCATGATGATGATGATGTTAGTGGTGATGATATTGTTTTTGTTGGTGATGATGACGTTTTTGGTGTTAATGACGACGATGATGACGATTATGATGATGATGTCGAATGAACAACTGAACGAAAAGAATGAAATAAATGAAGTAAGGGACGAACTTCCTGTCAGCCAATGAGAGGCCGGCTTTCTCACTCATTTCAATTAAACTCATCAAGCATTTGTCTACCAAAAAAAATTAAAATAATAACAATGATAATAACAATTACAATAATAATAATTGCAATAATAATAATAATAATAATAATAATAATAATAATAATAATAATAATAATAATAATAATAATAGTAACCTGTGGTGGAAAGAGTGGCGGAAAAGCCGCCAAACCATAGAACTAAAAGGCCGGCGTTCAGACATCTGCAATGATCTATGCTGGCCAGCCTGTGTAGCAGCATTATTATTCTTTCTGTCGTGAAAAATGTAAATTCGTTATTATTATTATTTACTATTATTAGTAGTAGTAATAGTAGTAGTATTGAATGTTGATCAATTATTTATTCCCTGAACCAACCAACCAACCGACCAACCAACCGACCAACCAATCAACCAACCAACCAACCAACCAACCAACCAACCGACCAACCAACCGACCAACCAACCGACCAACCAACCAACCAACAAACCGGCCAACCAACCGACCAACCAACCGACTAACCAACCGACCAACCTTTTTCAATCAGAAAACTACCACCCATCAGGATGGACATAAAAGACGAATGACCGACTACCATATTAAAGATACAACTGACATTCGGTTTCAAGCTATCATCATCATCATCATCATCATCATCATCATCATCCTTATTATTATTATTATTGTTGTTGTGGCCGCTGCGTTTTCGTTTTTTAGTAGCAACAGCAGCAGCAGCAGCGGTAGTAGCGTTGTCGTCGTTTCGTTCTTTAAACAGACACGTTACCGAAGATTGCAAAGTCTCGATGTAATTAATATTTTGGAACTGGTGTCTGAAATTATTTCAAATATAAATTCGTCATTAGTATCATCATCATCATCATTGTCTCCATCGTCGTCATCATCATCATCGTCGTCGTCGTCGTAACAATCATCATCATAATCATCGGCAGCAGCGTTTACTTACTTGAGTCCATTTTTTACAAATTTCGGCCATATTTCACGTAATGTTTTGTCTTTCAATCCTTTCTGAAAATGAATGAAAGAATGAATGATTGAATAAATGAATGAATAATTGTGTGAGAGAATCAACAAATGAAAAGAATGAATTAAAATAGAACGAACGATCGAAAAAAAAACAACCTTAATTCTCTCTTCAATCAGTTTCAGAGCATTCAGAAGATCGACCTTGTTGGCGGATCTATTAGATAACAAATCAACCAACTGGTCAATTTTCATGCTGTTGATGTTTTTGTTGACGTCATCGATGTTAACTTCACTGATGACGTCACTGTTGTCGTTGATCAGGGCGAGTTGATGAGCCGAAGATGGCGTCAGCGGTGATGGTTCTTTTCCCATTTCATCCTCATCATTTCCATCATCATCTTTCATAATCTTCTTAATTTTACGCAGAGCTCTCTCTAATTCATCACCATCGTCAATTTTTTCACTTCTTCGAAGTGTTAATATTTTAGCGTAGGTTTTTAGTATATTTTCAAATAATTTTCCATCATCATCTTCTTCTTTGCCACCACCATCATCACCACCACCACCACCATCACCGATGACGTCATCGTCCTTTTTTATATTTATTTGTTTATTATAGGCTTTTGCAACCACCCTAGTAAATTTCAATATAATGCCATCATCATCCTCATCATCACCAACGTCATCAGCACTATTATTATTATTATTATTGTTATTATTATTATTGTTATTATTATTATTGTTATTATTATCTGTATCATTATCATCGTCGTTATATTTTTTGGCTAAGGAAAGATAAGCGAGTTGTATGGAAAGAAGCTGTTTAAAAACGTCAAAGGCCGTCGTCTTTGGCTCATCTGAATCGGTGAAAAGATGAATTGAATGGATGGATGGATGGATGGATGAGTGATTGAGTGAACGAAAGAATGAGTGAATAGTTTAATGAATGAATAAGTGAATGAATGAATGAGTGAATGAGTGAATGAAAGAAAGAAAGAATGAATGAATGAAAGAATGAATGAATGAATGAATGAATGAATGAATGAATGAATGAATGAATGAATGAATGAATGAATGAATGAATGAATGAATGAATGAATGAGAAGAATCATACCTTCAACTGTCTGGTTATTAACATTTTGTTCAGGTTTATTTTGCTTCGTTGCCAACAGATTTTCAAAGGCAGATACAAAAAGGCAGAGCTTAGGTAAAACCTGAGAAGAGGAAGATTAATAAAAAGTGCTACCACTACTACTACTACTACTACTACTACTACTACTACTACTACTACTACTACTACTACTACTACTACTACTACTACTACTACTACTACTATTACTACTACTATTACTGCTACTACTACTTCTACAACTAATTATAACGATAAAACTAATACCTTAATCAGCGTCTTCCTAAAGCTCCTAATAAATTCATCGAGGTGATGTCTTTGTTGTTGATGCAGCTGCAACAATTGTTGCCGATGTTGTTGTTGTTGATGTAATATTTGTTGTTGCGATCTTAACGTCTGCTGTTGTTGTTGCAGAATTTTTCGTTTCTCATGTTGCAGTTGCCTTAGGACCGGTCTGATGTTGTCCGTCAAGACGATGGAGATGAAAGAGAAGCACTGATTGGCTACACTCATCTGCTTGCTCTGATTGGTCGGTCGGTCGGTTGGTTAGATGATTGGTTGGTTGATCAGTTGGAATGATCAATTAGATAATTTGTTGATTGGTTGGTTGATTAATTAGTTGAATGGCTGGGTGATCAGCTAGCTTATTATTGTATGAACGATGGGTGGATGGAGAATTTATCCTATCAACTGCTCAACAAACAACACAGACAAACAAACAAGCCCTCAAAAACATACACACAGACAAGCAAACACAGGCAAACACACACACAAACAAACACCAGAAATACAAACATTAACACCGGCCAAAAAACCAGCCCAAAGTTTTTGAGGGGGCATAACGTGGTGAACTAGGAGTTCACCCATCTTCTGCGGGTCTCCAGAGAACATCAGTAGCTGGATGGCTGTGTTGAAACTCTTGCTCCTACCCTTAAATATCTGTGTGAGTGTGTGTGTGTGTGTGTGTGTGTGTGTGTGTGTGTGTGTGCGTTATAAGTTGGCTATTTTGATTATGTTTTTAATATACTATATGCAGGTAGTTTAGAGTATTGTTAAATTTTAAATAAATAATTACACGACGAATTTATTTTGAAATATTTTCTGCAGACTCTTTCTAAATATCATCATCATCATTAATATCACCATCCTCACCACATCATCATCACACCACCATCATCATCATCATCATCATCATATCATCGTCATCACCACATCATCATCATCATCTTCCTCCTCACCTCCTGAACGAACTGGCACGAAGTGAACCAGTTTTTTGACAACCTGGGCTCTAGCAGTCCCACAAATCCGGAACCTCCCAAATAGAGGAACAGCTGATCCGGAATTGTCCTGAAGATTTCGATCGCGAGATTGCGTAGTAACGGATCGTTGTAGAATGAGGCAGGCAGTTGCGTTAGCAGGCACGTAATAAGACGGTTAGGGTTTCTAGAATTAGCCTCGTCGTCATCTATAAGATTACCAAAACTTCGTGATGGTGTGGCGGTGTTCCAGGATTTATCTTTGAATATGATTCCAAACTTGAAAGATGAACATAGCTGAGTGAACAAGTGGTGAACGCTCTGGCGAACATTCTGTTGTTCGTTCGTCAGTTCTCCATCTGTGAACTGTTCACGATGATGATGGTGAAGAAGATGTTGGCGCAATAAAAATGACATTGATGACGATGAAATGATGTCAATTATGGTGATACGATAATGAAGGGATACTAACGATAAAAAAGTTAATTTTTCAATTGTAGATAACGCAACACAAAGACTACGAACATAAATTAATCTCTTCTGAAAATCACCATCACCCCCATCACCACCGGAGATGCTTTTTTTCGATTGGCTCTTCCGATGGCCAATCATATCCTGCCATTTTTTAGGCCCCTCCCATCTGTACAGTTTGACCAATGAAAGGAGATTTTTCTCATTAAACAGATGAACCTTTGTCGTCTTTGAAACTGATTGGTTCATGACAACCTTATAACAAAGATAATGATGATAATGATGATGACGTAAATTATACCAAAAACTATGAATAACAAATAGTATTATAAATAATTTTAAAAATTGTTGCTCACGTGATGGATAAGTGAGTGGAGATATGAACATATCACATCACTTCTGTCTCCATACAAACTTTCAAATAAAACTCTATTGAAATCTGATTGATTGATTGATTAAATTATTTCATTCATTCATTCGTTCACTTATTCATTCTTTTTTTTCATCCATTCGTTTATTAATCTTTTCATTCATTTAAACTTTCATCATTCATTAACTTCTCTACTGATTCATCCAATCACTCAGCTTCCATATTCATACATTTATTCATTCACTCACTCATTTATTCACTCATTCACTCATTCATTCATTTATTCACTCAATCATCTAAAAATGAGTAAATAAAATAACACTACCTTTAGCATCGACAACAGTCTTAATGATGAGATGGGAATTTGTCCCAAGAAGGGAACACAAAAACTCAACCAGACAATGTTTCACATCTTGCTTGTGCTAAAAAAAAATTAATAATAATAAACAATAACAATAATAATAATAAACAATAATAATAATAATAACAACCACCACCATCATCATCATTATTAGTATCGTCATCATCGTCGTCGTCGTAATTCTAACCTTCATATCTTTCCTGTTAACGAGTGCCAGCCAGTTATTGTGGGTTAAGTCGATCCTTGACACCATCTCCCTACTGACCCAACCCCATTTGGACCCCCCATTCAAATTATTATTATTATTTGAAGTATTAGATATTTTAGCTTTCTTTTTTTTTCTATTTCCATCCTCCTCTCCATCATCTTCGTCATTATCATCATCAGAAGCTCCATCTTCATCATCATCCTCACATCGCCCAAATTTGCCGCCACTGACAATTAGGGTTAAAAGTTTTAGGGCAGATTTAATTTGGCCTGATTTATTTGACATTGACGTCTGCTTGAGCAGTGTAGTCAGGTGACTGGAGACTAGTCTTCTTATGATATTTTGGCCTAATGGCTCATAGTGAGTTAAGTCGGTAAAAATTCTAGACAGGATGTGTCTGAGTGATTCAAACACAAGATACGCCTGAAACAAAAAATGTCAAGAAAAATTAAAATAGACACTGTTTTAGTGATTAAATAAAATTTTTTTTTCTAAAAATTAAAAAAATAAAATTCAATAAAAAATATAACAATACCTCCTGGGCTTTAATTTTTGTCCTGAAGACAAGATCAAAGATTTCTTTACAGTCACTGGCCGTTCTACAGTAGCTGGCCACTATGTCAAAGTGAGCATTTTGGGGGCCGTTGATGGCTTTTATGAATGATTCTAAGCCTTAAATTTTAAATTAGAAAAATTAATAAGAAGTGAATTCTATTTTTAATATTAAAATTCAAAAATTAATTAGGAATAGGATTCGAACTAGTTTTTTTTTACTTTTTTAATTAACAACTTTTTATTTAATTTAATATTAATATATCAATATTTAATTAATTATTAAATTAAAATTTAAAAAAATACAGATCAACAGATAAAAATAATTTTGAAATGGAACCTGAAAAAGCTGTTTGCGGATCATTCAACATCGATTTGAAATCAGAATCCGTAAACAGAACATTTGTTGATTTTTTCCTTTTTATCGATTTCTTATCGGTTTCCATTTTCGATTTTTAAATTGAAAAACTCGAAAACATGCTGTAAAGAGCGATATTTGAGAATAACAATAGATACATTAACAGCACAGAATATTAAACTGTTTGAATAATCCTATTGGGTACTTTAAATTTAAAATTATTCACGTTGAGTTAACTTTTAAATTGCAAAAAGTGACTTTACAGAAAAACAACACTTGATCCTTTAAAATAGAATCATGTCTTCAATTGCTATTTCTTCTTTAAAACTTTTAAAGCAGTCGCATATTTCATTTTATCGCAACTTTAAAACTACGATTACTTATTCTAATAGAACTTGTTTTCGATCATTTTTTTCAAGTTCCAACGTTAACAATAGCAACAATGTCAAAACTAAAAATACCGAAATCACGGAAAAGCCGACGACGACCAGAACAGAGTCCCAAAATAAAGAAGTGATAGCTCGAGCAAAGCACGCAGATTACGAAAATACCGTTTTAGTGTACGCCAATAAATCTAGTTTTGGCACGAATTTTATATGCGCGTTTATAAACATCTGCAACCCGTTTATGATTTGCTGTGGGGTTGACACACTGAGACGAGAGAACAAATGGCTGACCGTTTTCGAGGACAGGATGTTTATTGACAACCCACATTTATACGCCATCGTTACGACGGCTTTCCTCATTACAGTGACCATTTTCGTTAATTTTTTCCGTCTAAGAATGCTCTCCAAAATTACTTATGATATTAACAGGAAGACATTTATTGGCCATAGACGGAATTTTATGCTAATTAAACGAACGTTTGAGTTTCTGCCTGGGTCCGTTGTGTCAAATTATCCAACAGAGTCAGAGGAAGAAAGCATGAAAGATGTAAGCACATGGAAATATCTGATGGACGGCAACTATAAGATAAATTCACAGCCATATATTTTGTTGTTCAGTGACATAAAGAACCACATTTACTTTAATGTTATGACTGGTGTCAGCAATAAATATTAATTAATCAATAATGTTATGAAATCTTTTTTTGTATTTTTTTGTGTAATAAAGTTTTGGTATTTTAATGTTCTTTTTTTATTTAAATACAAATTTAAAATAATACAAATGAACTACAAGTAAAAACAATGATAAAAACAATTCAAAAATATATAAAAGTCATCATCCTAATGACTTGAAGTATTTCTTCATCTTCCTGCCACTGTATTGGAATGATTTGGTCAGCCCTGCAGTCAGCACTCCTTTTGCACTCTGGCTCCAACTGGATGATCTTACAATTTTTTCCAATTCTAATTTCACCTTCAACAACGTTGTTAACAATATGATAAATCAAATTAAATGTCATAGATGTCAGTTTTAAATTTTCATAGAGCAGAGAGCTGAACTAACAGTTTTAGGGTATGTAATTTGATTGTGTGCCAAACTCCTCAAGACTTCCTCAGTGTCTCTATGTCTGCCATCATAGTTCTGACTGTTTACTATTCCAAAGAGAAGACGTTTAGGCAGTAAGTTGAGGTGGTAACAAACGGAGATGGGACTGCAATCTTGTTCGAGGATGGCAGTTGTCTTGTTCCAGTGTAAGTACTCCCCGCTGTTCAGCATTGCATGTTCATATAATTCTCTAAACCTGAATAGTAGTAAGAGGCATTTAAAGGTTATGAAAATTGATCCAAAGATGAATGAAACATTCAAAACTGAGGAAATTGTGAATAAAAAAATAACTTACTTGTCTAAATTTGGAATAACAATATTTTCAATTTTATTTTTATCCTCTCCAAGACTCATTCTGAAATCTCCTCCGTAGGACAGGCCAGCAAGAGTTTTGTAGAAGTCAATCTCACTAAACTCTCCAGGAAGTAGCAGGAGAGCTGTATGCATGGCACTGTGTATGTTTGTGACCAGCGCACTGTTAAGTAGTTTATCATTGGGACTTGAAATAATTTGTTGGACTGGTTTGTGCAGTCGACCACTGATGTACAAAGTATCCCAGTCGAAAAGATCATTGATCAAGGAGTCTTCAGATATGACTCCATACTTTATTAACCTGCCATCTAGTTCCACCAGTGTGTTATAGTAGACTTTAGCACCTAAAAAGTTGAAAAATTACCCAAAAATAAACAAAAACTAAAATTTTGCTTATAAATTATTAATAAATTTATGATTGTTGAAAATAGTGGTATAAAAAAATATAGCAACAAATAATACCAAACTTGTCTTGCACATCTGAAATGATTTTTGGTCCTAACAACTTCAGGAAAGAATAATGCTTTCTGTTCATCTTTAAATTCATTTTATGCCATTTGTGGGGATTGTCGGTTACTAAAATTAAATCCAACATATTTTTTGAAGGATCTAAATGACTTTTTTGCTTGAAAACACCTTCGATTAATTTTAGTTTAAAAATTATTATTAAAAATGAAAAAGCAAAATCTTGAGGCAAAATAATGAACAAAAAACAAATTAAACAAAATATCGTCAGTGGGGCTATAAAGGAGAGTTTGCCCAATTTTGTCATGACTTTGGCTTCCTGTGTGTCATTCATCATCAGATGATGGATATGCAATATAATATACAACACATACTTGAAATTCCAATCACATCATGAAGATGGAGAGCGACAAAAAACATTTAATAACCGGATCCGTAAGCAAACGCCATCCTAACTTCAGGAAAGAATTTTAAAAACTTTTGCGGAGACATTTAGCGTCTATTAGTATTAAACTAATTAAGCAAGACGATTCGAATTAGGAACCTTTAATTTTACTTTTAGACTAATTTTGTACAACCATAGATCTATACACTAATGTGACTTTTTAAAATGAGGACGAAGGACAATAAATCATTTTGGTGTTTTGATATATCACACCTAAAATCATTTTTTCATCATTATCCAAAAAATTTACAAGTCAAAAAAGCATTGTGATTAAATTATTTAAATATCAACATCAAAATTCGACGAATTAATTCAGTATAATGCAGTATCTTTATAAATTTATCATAGAAATAAGTAATAAAATAAAAACTGTCAAGCAAAAATCGAAATTAAAAACACTGTCTATTCAGATTTCAATAAATTAGATACAAATAAATGATATACAAATGTAAAGGTATCAAATTATAATACACTACTAGCCCTAACATAAAATAAATTGGGGAACAGATTCGATAAGAAAGCAAAACTAATCAAAGCTAACCATAAAAAGGACTCATTTTAAAAAATAATATAAAATATAAATTAAATGAAAATATAAAAAAACTTTCAAGCCTAATATGAATTGCTAATTAGACATTAATAAAAATAATTAAATCATTTTTTAATCTCAGAAAGTCAAAATGATATAAAAATCATATGCCAATTGAATATTTAAACGATATAAGGCTCTACTTCTTTACTACAATTCTTTCAATTTTTAATTTGTCGGCCATCACATCCTGTTTTTGAAAATTAAGTCAGATAAATTCGAACTTGATAAAATAATCATTATTAATAATAAAACTATGATCACTATCGTTAATGTTGTAATTACTAACCACTGAAAACCACAGATTCACTAATCACTAATTAAGTATAATAACTACTAACCAACAGGGCAATAACATTGGGGTGATATGTTATCCCCCCGGCTCTGTCGCACTTATTGATGTGCTTGCGCTCTGGATCTCCAGCTATTAGGATTTCTTTCTCGCCTTCAGCCTGTGAAAAAATGATGAAAGAATGGAAAATTTCGCATGCAATTATAAAGTTTATTTTCCAACATCATCAACATCGTGGTCGTCATCATCATCATCATTACCGTTGTTATAACAACTGCTTCAATTATCATTAGGTTCATCGTTCATTATCATCACTCTCATCATCGACATTTTCATCACCACCATCATCAACCATCATACTCACTAGATCACTCTGCCTGCATAGATTCATAAGGATCTGCATCCTGTCTGTAAATCCAGGTGCGAAATTGTCAGGGTTGATGGCTATGTAGCATTGACCCTAGATAAATTTGTATGTGTGTGTGTGTGTGCGTGCTTATTTGTTTAAGTTTGTTTGTATGTGTATGTGTGTACCTGTGTATGTGTACGTGTGTACGTAGGTCTGTAGTTTTTGTACACGAGAACGCGTTTGAATTTGATAATAAGTTACTTATATTTACACTTCAACGTACCAAATTAGCAACCCTGTTGGTCTCCTTCCACTTCCTTATTCTCGGACCGAATTCGCCCCCGGACAAAATACCGCAAAAAATTTCGACCAACATGGCCAAACCGTATCCCTTATATCCGCTGGTCTCTTCCGCGCCTCCCAAGGGCAGCAAACCTCCCTCTTTGATGCAGAGGTCCGGATCTTCTGTAACCTGATTGGTTAGAACAAATAGTGGTAAGTTAAAAAGTTGACGTTTAATTAGTCGGTTGGTGTAGTTCTTGATTTTAAAAAGCTGGCATACGATTAGGTTAATTGACTGAATGATTGATTGATGGAGTTATGAGTATAACACTAATGTTATGACCTATTTAAATGACCCCACGATAAAATGACCCCAATTATATGACCCATTTAACTCACGTGACCAGTTCCGTCAGCTCCCCAGCCCCTTGGTATTTTGATTTTTTTGACAGCATTCAACTCGATCTGTTGCAATTTCGAACAATTATAGCTATAATATTTATTAATAAGCTATAATCACATGAATTGATTATATTTTCGCGATCATACAATGATCAACTAAGTTTAGTAGACCTATTGTACATAATCCAACGGCGCTTTATCTATTATTCTATACAAAATGTCATATTCTTACGTTCGCTTTCACCAATTTTTTTCCATTCAATAATTCATTCATTCATCCATCTATTCATTCATTTATTCATCCACTCATATATTCATTCGTTTCGTTTATTCGTTCATTCATTTATTTATTCATTCGTTCATTTATTCATTCATTCATTCATCCATCCATCCATTCATTCATTCATTCATTCACTAATTCACTAACTTTCCCCAGAGCGACGGAGGATGTTGCCATATCAAGAACGAAAGTGTCAACGCCCTTGCCTGGAGCTGCCAACGAAAGTGGGTTGGTTCCTAAACAAGCCTTAAAGAGGCAATTAAAATAGTCATTCATCTATTTGTTTGTTTGTTCGTTCAATCATTCGTTCATTCATTCATATGTTCATTCATTCATTCCAATGGATAAAAGAATGAATGAATACATCATACATTTATTCGATAACTCGTTTGTTCATTAATTCACTCACTCATCTATACCTACATATTCAACTATCAGCTCATCCATTTATTCGTTCGTTCGTTTGTTCATTCATTTGTCGGTTCATTAGTTAATTAATTAATTAATTTATTCATTCATCCGTTCATTCAATCATTCCAAAATGTACCTTCCTTCCTCTTGTTGGCAGAACCAATGGTGACGTATTTGTGAATGACATACCCTGCAAGAGGAATAACGATTGGAAAATTCTTCTATTTTTATTTCTTTTACTTTTTTTTATCATTTATTTTCTTTTATTTACTTTTATTATTTAAAAAAATCGACATTATCAGCCGAAAATAAGAAAAAAATCAAATCGCTGATGAGAAAAGAGAAAGTTACTATTAAGTTGAGAAAATGTTTTTTGGCTCTTTTTTCAAATTTCAGTTTATTAATTCAATTTATCATATTTGTCTATATGTCCATATTTGATGGTAATAATAATAATAATAATAATATTATTATTATTATAAATAATAATAATAGATTAATAATAATAATAGAACAATAATCACCACCACCATCATCATCATCATCAGCAACAGCATTACTATCATCAACGACATACTTACCAGAAGACCTTGTTCGCAAGCCATCAAACTGTAGAAGCCAGCTATTCCATAGTGATTTGACCCTGACGACAACGAAGAAGAAGAAGAAGAAAGTGATGATGATAATTTGATGATGATTATGATGATGTTGTGATGATAATGATGTGAGTATCCATGAAAAAATGATAGAAACAATAATGACACTTACGATACAAATGATTGAGATTAGGATACAAATTATGAAGATATTGATGATGATGAGGACCAAAAATGATAACAACAACCATGAAAAAAAGTCAAGAAAATTATAAATAAACCTTTAGCACTGACAAAGCCAACTCCAGCTTCTTTAGCCTTCTTGATTGCAATCTCCATAGAAAACTTTCCGACAATTGGACCCAGTAGGTTGCTACCATCAACATGAGCTGTAGCTGCTGACTCCTTCAGAATGACTGGCTCTTTGTCACTGACTGTAATGCCAGACTGGATGTCTTTCACATACATCTCTGGTTTTTTGTTTTAGAAAAAAGAATTTACTAGATGTTTTTTTATGTCAATTTTTATATTTCGTGGCCTAGAAAAATGCAAGAAAGAAAACTTTGCAAATAAAAACTAAACATAATCAGCTATGAATTCAAATATAAAAATTATTAATTTCTCCTCAAAAGCTCACCCAATCTATTCAGTCCATGGCTAAAGTGACCTCTGTAATCGGCCATTGTGAGATTTTCGGCCAGGGCTGTAGCGTGGGCGGGCCTGGTCCCCACGGCAGTCATGGACCGTTCGATAAAGGCTTTAACCTCATCATTTGCAATGCATATGCCGCCTACTTCCGGTTGGCTGGTTGCATAATTGCGGAAGAAGTTAGTGAGGACGACGGCTGAAGATTTGGTGGAGATGCTGGATTTTAGGAGGCACTTTGAACTTGCTCCAATCGTTGCAAGGGCGTTGAGTGTTGACATTTTGTTCACCAGGTCGTCAAAAGTCGTTGGAGAATTTTTGTTAGGTTGATTTTATTTTATTACCGAATGTTTGTTCGCCTGTGTTTTTCCGTCTGCAAAAGTAGTTAGTGAGATTTAATTCGATTTTTAGTTATTTTAAAAGACTGACACTTAATTTTAATCAAACAATTAGTTTCAAAACATAATCACATATCAAAAAAGTTAACTTACTTTACCAAAAGATTCCTCTTTAGAACAAAAATTTTGAACTTTCTCCAAAAATTATCTTTAAAATAGTTTGACAACCTAAGAGCGCTATTGGTGAACATACGAATGATCAGCACTGCTATATAGCAAGAGCTCAATTATATAAATAAATAAATATATATATATATATACATATATAAATTTATATATATATTGCTAAATCTTCACTTACATACACTTATATAGATGTACGTATGTTGGGTAAATATGTCTCTATCAATATATTTATATTTGTATGCATATACAAACCTTCATCAATAGAGTTTTGCCTATCAAATGGAAAATACATAGGTACCTTACGTGATGGATATTTAATATATATATATATATATATATATTGTATCGTAATTTCCAATTTTCATATTACAACAGCTAAAGTTTGCACAGGCTCCCAGTCAAGGTTACATCATCAGAGCACCTAAATTTTAAAGTGCCTGCGATTTAAATATAAGTCTGTTGACAATTTTTATCAAATTAATTTTAATATAAGACCTTTACGTCGTTTTAAGTTTTTTTCGGTTAGAATTTATATTTCTTAGATTAATTAATATTCTACATATATGTATGGCGTGCCATAAATGTTAAAAGTGAAAAGCATACCTAAAAATGAAAATGGGATTTTATTAAGGTTTGGCCGCTTAATTTAAAACGAACTAACGAAACCTTTGAAACGGACAAAAAGTAAAAGTAAATAATGAACGTAAATAGATAAAATTGCATACTCAACAATATATTATAAATAAATAAAATTGTCAGGCAATGGTTTTTCAGTTTGAGGACCTGCCTGACCATTTGTTACTTAAAATTTTTTCATACCTCCCGTTAATTAAAGGTAAATATAGCTTGGCACGAGTAAACAATCGACTTTACGATTTATTTGTGAGCCCCCAAGAATGGAAAAGTTTATCTTTTGAGTTGACATTCGTTCCAAGGCCCTTAGTTGGCCAATATTATACTTTACAGCCATGGGAAAATTTACTTTTGACAGTATCAAATTCCTGGTCTGATATCATATTGCCGCTATCTTCTCTACCAGATTTGCAATCTTTTTTCTTCTGGAGAGAAGAACCATCGTTTTTGGCTTTTCTATGCAACCAGATCATGACAGTCGGCCATGATGTAGAAAATTTCTCTTTTATATTACCAGATCATGTACACATACATACTTTTCCATTTGGGAGATTCCGTGACGTTGAAAATTTTGTCGTGCTGAAGATGGCTCTAGAACATTGTAACACGTTGAAAAATTTGAAAATAACTCTGGGGAAATGGCTTCCATTAAACTATTTTTCAGCAACACTCCCTATACAAATATACGAAGTTATAAAAAACATTTTAAAACTTATCGCTAACAACAGCAATACTCTTCGATCAGTCAGTATTAATTCATGGCCTGTCACATCAGAAGATAAGCTTTCAAGCATTCTGAACAACCTCCCTTATTTACAGAAATTGTCAATCTTCCATCCAAAAAATTTTCATCTCACTCAGCTATCTCTGGATTCCTCCATTCCTCAACCTCACCATGTAAATATTTCTTTCATATGTTCATTGATTTGATAAATGTTCTAATTAAAACTTTTGATAAATTAGGTTGTCCTCTGTGTGCAGCAGCTACAGCACTTAACTTCACTGTCTCTCCATTGTTTCTGCATATCAGCTGATCTTTTGAGTGAACTGTCACTCGTCAAACCAAGATTCAACACAAAAGTCTATCCCCATTTCACTAAGTTGAGCATTTTGCTCGTACACGAAGACCAAACTAAAAATTTCTTCAATATATCTTTAGAAAAATGGAGAACTCTTCACAAGAGCCATCATGACCTCACGATGCATCTGTCAATTGGCAACGAAATTCCAGATGATGTACTAATGAGTTTCATGGCAGCTGTCAAATGTTTCAAAGTTGAATCTGTAATAGTCTCTCAGTACGGTGTATATAGTATCGGCTTTATGAGCATCTTATCAGCAGATTTCAATAGATTGAAATCGTTCACTGATTACACAGACGGTGCTTCAGATCTCTCTCTTTTGATGTCACTTGTAGAGAACTGTCCTCTCCTTGATGCCCTTGTCTACAAGGGTGAGATTGAAGAACACTGCATCCTGAAACTCATCAATATGAGACACTGGAAAAAATTTAAAGTTTGTTCAATTATAATTCTTTTTCGTGTAATGATTTGTTCAAACAAATTTTCTATTAACATATAAAGTTAAAAAAAACACATGCATATTGATACAAATAGAATTTTATGTTCCACAACACATCTGACTTGAGATTCACTTCATTAAAAACCTACCTCCAGATTAACATGAGCAAAATGGTAATCAAGGCACTTGTCAAAGCTTCTGTCCTTGACAAAGCAGCAGCGACAGCTGATTCAACTGGTCAGAACAACGAACTCATAGAACCTAGTAACTACAAACTCCGTAAGGAAGAAGCCCTTAAGAACATAGACAAGTTTGCCAAAGAAAATTTGAGATGTGAGTGGAATCCTTTTAAGGACGACGCAGGAGTCTGTCAAATTATTTGATCGATGTGTTTAGTTTTGTGGTAGCATTTTCTTTCAATACGTTGCTATCTCTTCTTTCTCTCTCTCTTTATCTGTTTGAACATGTTGCTCTCTATCTTTCTCTCTCTCATGCACCCATGTATGTTTGTGTGTGTATTTATCTCTGGTTTGATGTGTGTGCCTATCATGATACTATTTGTGATAAATAGATATTTATTGCTGGTAGATTGTATACATCTTCTGTGATATATGTAACGTAAAATTTTGTTTGATAATTGCGAAAATTCTCTATTCATTTAAAGGAAAACAATTTGAATATGCGTATGAACATATTTGCGTGGCCTTAATTGTGTATTTTTTGCTTTATTTTTTGATAGTATTACACTAAATGACATTCAAACTCATATTTATGATTAAATTCACAATTTTTCATGACTTTCAAAGTTGTTTTCATTGAATAAATAAAGTTTAATGTGATGTTTTTAAATGGAAAAAATTTGCCAGTGCATTGTTTTCTCATACAGCAATTGTTCCTTTTTGAACTGGTTTTACCTTTCTGTATAAATGATTTTTTTTTTCGTTGTGATAAACTCGACGCTAAACATTATCATCGTATCACGCACGCACAAATACACACGCACACACAGACACATTTACACTAAGAGTATTTCACAGTTTAATAAAGATAAATAACCTTACCTCAAGTTTTCTTTTTGTTAAAATTATTTACTAAAGAAACAAATCAAAAAATAACACGAAAGAGGAAAATGAATACGAAAATGTATCATGATAGATAGATAGGTGATTGGATAGATAGATAGATAATTGAATAGATAGATGATTGGATAGATAGATGGATGATTGGATAGATATATTAGATAGATAGATAGAGATCGCTAGATAGATAGAAATGTATCATGATAGATAAATGGATGATTGGATAGATGGATGGATAGATAGAAATAGGCAGATAGCCAAAATAGACCGGTACATAAATAGGTAGGTAGGTCATAAATGAATAAAAAATAAATAAGGCTTTTAAAATTGAAACTCAGGTAGGTACTTATAAATAAAGATAATATGAAAAAAAAACAATAGAAATTCATAATAGCAGCAATACCACAATTACCACCATTGATTGATTGATAACAATATGGACGTTATCAATTAGCGTAAAAATACGTCGTAATTAGTTAATTAATTAAATAATTAATAAATTAAATAACTAGACCATTGATTAAATCATTCAATAATAATAAGAAGGATTTGTGCTGTGAAAAAAGCCTCCGTACATCAGAAAAATAGGTAATATGTACGGAACAAATGCTTTGAAGAAACTCAAACCCGATGAATCAACATAGAAAAATCTCATTGAAACGTATACACACAAGTAACATTGGAATGGTGGTATATATGTACATATATATATATATATATATATGTATATATGTATACATATATATATCTCAATGAAAAATCTCAATGAAACACACACGCATGAGTAACATTGGAATGATGGTATATATAATATGTATACATGTGTGTATGTATGATTAGTAAAAACACAGTAAAAAAGAATAAAATAAAGAAGCGTTTACCTGTGCCAAACAGGCGAACCAACAAACACTTATACAAACACTTATACAACATATACAACACACACGTTTAGACGGCATTTTCCCCGAGATCGGGGGTTGCCGTTTGGCTACCTTGGCTACCAACAAACACTTATACATACACACATCTATTAGACATTCATACATACATACAAACAAACAAATCAAAGTTTTAATACATTTGTTACTTGATGTTTGACTGTTTAGTGTCATTCATCATGTTTTGGATTTAACATACAAACATACATAGATACTTACATAGATACACACATACATACATACAAACAAACCTACATAGATACATGCATACATAAATTAATATAAATAACGCTAAAACATGCAACATTAAAGATGTATATAGATGGAGCATGTAAAATAGAATGGTTGAATAAGCAATGGAAAATGACTTTGGAATGAGAAAGTTGAATGTTAGAGAAAAAATAAGCTATAACCCACCCTCAACATATTACTATTGTTTAATTTCATCATCATCGTCGTCGTCGTCGCCATCATTATTATCAGCATAAACCAACTTATGACAAGGGAATGTTAGCAGTGAAGCTTGTTGTAAGGGTAGTTATGTAATAGTGTATTCACAAATAACTGGTTGGTAAATTTTACTAATTAAATATTAAATACTGTTAATTATTTTACTAATTGACTAGTACCACTACTATTTAATGATAATTGTCAGTACTTGTTCAGTTGAAACTGACTGGATCAACCTATAAAACTCAGAAAACTTGAAGAACTCAGAACAAGAAACAAAGAATCCTTTCATTCATTCAATCAAACATTCATTCATTTAGTTATTCAGTCATTCATTCATTCAATAATTCATTTTGAACATGTAGAAAAAGATGAAGATGATGACGACATAATCATTCATGTTGAACTCTGCCTATAGCTAGGACCTGTATTTTACAAATTTTATTTATTAGTTTGAATAAAAATAGTTTTATAAATAAAAAAAATAATCAAAAAGTACATGTAGTTTATAGTTCAGTGCTCAGTACTAAGCCCACACACACACGCACACAAACAAACACACACACACAAACAAACACACATACATAAACCAGGGGTTACGAACTTAAAATACTTAGCCTCTCAGCGTCTGACTCCTGAAGCCATTTCAACATCCTTCCAAAAGTCTCCCTACCCGATTTCATCTTTGCCCACGGCCTGGGGTTTCTTAGGAGGTCACTCAGAGTGCCCTGACTTCGACCTAGAACTTTCTGCGCGAAGATGAGTTGAGAGATGTTCAGTCGTCTTAATTCATTAGTCACCTGAAAGAAAATAGTGTCAAGGATTAATTGGATTTTTATTTTAATGATTTAATTATAAAAATATAATATGAAAATTATATATATATATATATATATATATATATAGATATATATATATATAGTTTCAACTATTTATCAATGATTACCAAAATCAATCAATTAAAAACATTACACTGGTTTATGTGATTGTAAATTTTTAACCCTTTCAGCGACATCTTTTGTATCTAATTCTTCTACATCATTCCAATCAATCTTGTCAAAATTGCAGCTGCCACCATTCCGAAACAGTTGGTTCTCGACAGCTGCTGATGATGTCATCTTCGTAAATTCACACTGGCCTCTGCCATTATTAACATTTCCTTGGTTATCGTTGTTGTTAGCGTTTGACAAGTTTTGTAAGTCATTCAAACAGTTCTGGACAAGATTTAGAAATAGTTGTGAGTTTGTTTCATAGAGAGGAAGTAGAAGAGTAGAAAGTTTATTGTTAATTCTATATTGCTCATCTGCTGATGATGAGCCCTCGCTGAACAATGACACTGGCTCTAAAGGAGGGATGCTGTCTAAACTATCCGCAGATAGTTCCGGACAATATTCGACTGAGTAGTTGCTAGCGTGTTTATCTGCACCTGCAACATCGCTTGAACCAGTGAAGTCAGTTATGATGGAAGGATGCAACGGCCGTAATTCGGTGTAAATCAGTTCATTGTTGTTGTTGCTATAATTGTCTAACGTCTCATAGAGATAATCATCACCACTCGTTTGCGATGAGTCGTCAAAAATTAGCGAATCGTCGTCGTCGCCATCGTCAAGCTCAATCTCGACACTGTCTTCCGAAAGAACTGACTTTGTGCTTGAAACTTTATCTAACATATTAAATCTGTTTTCTCGGAATTAATTCTTTAAATGATAGCATCGAAGAAAAACATTGCGAACTCGAAGAAAAAAAAATTAGACAATTTTTTTGTTCTAAATCTAACAAAAAGCCCGGGCCCCAGAAACGAATTTTTCTAACGACGATAAAGATGGTGACGATTTTTTGCAAGCAACATTTTTAATTATTCGACGTAACGTAATAATTTTCAATACATAGTTGCATGAGTGCGTGATATTATCACATTATACATCGTAAATGATGTTTTTTTAATAGTACGATTATTTTTCAATTAAGAGACAGAAAAAATAGTTACATTTAGAGGATATGGGGAATGGTGATCGGAAATGGGTAAGGGAAGAAGGCCATGCCAAGACCCCCACTTTATACCGCTACCAAAGGAGACGAACCCGTGTTTGCGTGTGTGCATGCATGTGGATGTGTGTGTATGTATGCCTACGCATGTGTGTATGTATGCCTACGCGTGTATGTATGTATGTGTGCGCGTGTGTGTATGAACAATACATTTAAAAAAGAGATTATTTTTTGGAAAAAGAAAGAAAATTAAGTTCAATTTTGAATAATTTTATTTGTAAGTCTAGCGAACATTCCGTGAACTACAAACAAAATCATGAATATCTATTCATAAATTTGAAAAATAAATTTAATTTAGAACAAAATCTAAAAATCGGTTTTCAGATTTTTGCTTTCTTATAAGTAATCTTCAATAGGGGGTAGGTTATCCCAGTCAATTTGATCCAGGAAACCTCCAAGACGTTTTCCAATTTTGCCCAAAATTTCATCAGCCACGGCTCCGCCAGTTTTCAGTCCAACGTTCTTCAAATCTTCAAGTGGAAGTTTTTTGAGAAAATCCATAAAACCTCTTTTGCCGATTTTGCCCAGAAGTTCTTCGGCGACTGCTCCGCCTGTTTTTAGTCCCACGTTCTTCAAGTCTTCTAAGGGAAGTTTCTTCAGGAAGTCCATGAAACCTCTCTTCAAACGAAGTTCTTCCTATGGAAAAATTTAAGATTTGGATGAATTTTGTCAGATTGATTGGGTATTAACAATGTTGTTATAAAATGTAAAGGCGGATGTTTATGTCAAAATTTTTAAGTGTGAGAGGGATTTTAGTTTGAATGTATAAATTTGTGTTAATACGTGCTATTTGTGTGTGTGTTTGTGTGTGTGTTTGTATGTCTGTGTGTGTATATGTGTACGACAAGGTTTTTAGTTAGAAAGAGAAAGTTTCTTAAAATTTTAACATAACGTTATATTTCTACCTACCTCTGATTCATCAGGGAGTGCTAGAGGAAATTGCAAAAAAATTGTTTAAATTCATAAAATTATCGAATATTCTAATGATTATTGAGATTATTTTATTAACTTTAATACCATTTTAATCGAATAATAATATTAAAAAACAGAAAACGCAAAATCTCTGTTACTTTTTGACAACGCGACGTTCACAGCCACCAAGAGAAGCACGGAGACAAAAATTTTCATCTTTCTACAGCAAGATTTTTCCCAAAATAATTATTAATAATTATTTATTAATAATAATAATGAAAAATTATTTTAAACAGTTTATCAGACTGTTCAAATTTGCTTGTGGTTCGTTGAACATCAAAGGTTTAAATAGCAAAAAACCTATCATAGATTCTCACAAAATGATTAAATTTGTCGAAACGGTGTTAATTAATGAAACAATTTCTATCTTAATTTTGTTTAAACCAAATTTATAAAATGAAATCAAAAAATTAATCGAATTTCATTATAAATAATATAAGATTTTTGTTTCATGTTAGTAGAAATATTTCGGTCAAATATAATTACATTTTAGTAGTTAATAATAAAAGTAATAACATCATTAGTATTGTTGTTGTTATTCCTATTGTTGTTGCTATTGCTGTTATTATTATTTATAACCCAATTTTTTAAATTAATTAACTCAAAATTAACTTTATTTTTTTGGCGAATCTGTAAAATAACCATTGACAGTTTTAATTAATACTTTTATTAATTTTTGCAAAGCACAATAGAGAACATGCATGTATTTTATTGCTGATAATGATAGTAATGATAAAATAATTATAATCATTGTTATTATAATTATAATTATTTGTATTTTCCAGGTTGATGATTAAAAGGTGGGCTGTTTTGCGCACCACACTTCGATTAATTAGTTAAACAGAAAGCGTTCCTACTTTTAACGATACATTCGAAAATATCCACAGATATATAAATTAAATTGAATAAATTTAAAAAAATAAAAGTGACATAAATAATAAGAACAAGTAAGAGTAAAAATGATAATAATAAATAAACAGACACACTATGGAAATTAACGTTGAGCATGATGATTAATGCAACCACTACATCCAAATTTTTAACAATTCAAATCCTTGAATCAAATCCCTCCAAACAAATCCTCAACCAAATCCAACCTAACCAAATCCGTAACGAAATCCTTAACCAAATCCATCCTTAACCAAAACCCAATCTTACCAATCACTATCTTGCTACTCCATCCCAACGTTTCTCAAAGGATTAATATCTTTATGAGAAGAGCGATTGAGAATACAAGAATCAGTAAGGATTTCATTCTGATCAACCAGCTACCAGTGAAAAATAAGGACACGTAGCAGTATATCAGCAGTACCATTTCAACGACCACCGAAAGATACCGTAACGTGAGACGGGAGACATCCATCCCTATTAATGTTCATAAAGTTTATTAACGAATTAAATTTTTACAGAACTTCTTAACTATGTAGTGAATGATTTTGAGCAAATATTATTACATAAATTGTTAAATATTGAGTAGGAGTTGGATCGAAATGAACGCCAGATCTTTATACTTGTTTAGTTTCGTTCACGTGCCAGACCACGTAATGTAAAAATTCCCTTTACAAATTCTCTATTAAAAATTTATCAGAAGAATAATTAAAAAGCAACTACTGAAAATCCATCCATCTATCTATTTATCCATCTATCCGTTTATCCATCTGCCCATCTATTCATCTACCTATTTATTCATCTATCTATGTATCAATCTGATATCCAACTATCTATTTATCCATCTATCCGTTTATTCTTCAGTTCATCTATCTATTTATTCATTTATCCATCTATCTGTTTATCCATCTGCCCATCTATCTATTTATTCATCTATCTATGTATCTATCTGGTATCCAACTATCTATTTATCCATTTTTCTAACCATCCATTAACGACAAGCGCACCGCATGAAACACATTGAATGTGATAAGCGGGGATCTCTGCGTTCGAACCAGGCCTCTCAACCACTACACCATCAAACTACTCAATGTAGTATAATATTAAAAATACTATTGAAAACTGACATGTTAATGCATCATCTTCGCCAAACAGCTGCCAGTATAAATTCCTCTGGCACCCAAACCAGCAAGTCGGCTTGAAAAAAGCGTCATACGTCAGATTGTTGGCCAACTTAATACGCTGGTAGACGTTTAAATGGTTTGCAAACAGTTGGAAAATTAAATTCACGTAAGGCTTTTCAGACAAAAAGTTTGATAAGCCGCACAAAAATCTAGCTTTGATCGAGTTTGAGCCGCCATTTCTCGAATTTTGATTGTCATTTTTGAGATTTTGAAATTCATTTTCCGGATTATGAGGCGCTTCATTTTTGAGGTGGTCTGTTTGATCCGTAATCATCTGCTTGCAGTAGTTGGTTGTATCTATGATGGGTTCATCGTTGTTTATCCGCTTGACCACTGCCATCAAATCGTTGAGGTAAACATCGCTGGATATTATGAAAACGGATGGTAGTGCTATTAATAGGAAGAACTTTATCATACTTTAAAGGCACTAAAGCACTAGATAAAGTAAAAGTGAATAATCTTCTTCAAAAAAATAACTGATCTAAACTAAGGCAAAATAAACTTTATTTATGTTATAAGTTATGAGTACAACATTTATTTACGAGTTGCGGTTGTGATGTATGTATCTATGATATTTGTAAACTGAAAACTGAAATTAACTATTATTTCTTTAGAAAGGTCTTTATTTTACATTTTTTTAAACAAAATACGTGTTTGAGTGTAATATGTAAAGTAAGAATATTAAGATTAAGTAATGTTACTTAGGTATTTAATCACTCTATCCACACAGCATGCAATCAGAATGTCGTTGAGAAATGTCCAAAATAGCCCATTTGTTTATATTTTCCAAGTTGGTCACGTTTCAAAACAAATGACGCGTACGTAGGGTGTAAATTTTTTTTTTCTGTAAAATTTTTCAATTCTACGTTTTAAATGAAGTGAATTTATTAAATTATTATGGTCGTTAATTGAAAAAATATAAAAAAAATTGTAATTTGTACGACGTCTCAATTTTATTTCTGATTTACCGACAACCGCCGTATTTTGTATTTTTGTCTTTTTTTACAGCTTCTTTGACAACAGCATCATCAATGACGTCACGACGCCATCTTTATTTTTTACCACTTTTCAAGACTGCGGACATAACGCCAACGACGAATTTCTTGACGTCATCGGCCACAACTTTTCCTTTCTCCTTGACCTTGTCAAATATTTCTTTCAAGCCCCTCTTCAAGCGCAAATCTTCCTAGAGTTTTAATGAGTTCGGTTATGAAACATTCACGTTTATAATTAATTCAATGTTGTTTTTATTTATTCTATTTTATTTACATTTTTTTTTAAATTTGTCCACTCGTTCCCGACAGACATATTCGGCTGATGAGCACAAGAAAATAAACCCGAGAAAAACCAAGTTTGTTAAAATAAGATAAGAAGCATAAGAATTAAAATTCATACAAATGCCTTTAAAATATGATAAAAAAAACTGACATGAATAAGGTGATAACAAAATTCATCACCATCTTGAAAGATTATTACTTTAAGGCAGAGGTGGGCAAACTTTTTGCTGTGAGGGCCGCAATGAAAAATATTTTACCTTTGAAGCGCCGTATATGTACTCAAATTACAAAATTTTCGACCCAGGGGAGAATTTTTTTTCAAGATTTGTCTCCTTTTTTTTGGTTTTTGGTTATAATGTCTGGCTGACGATCTTTCTTTTGGCGAGCAAGATCTCACGGCCGCATAAAATAGCTTTGTGGGCCGTAGTTTGCCCAGCCCTGCTTCAAGGAATATTTTACAATGTTTAGGATAAAGAACATATAACAAACATATTACCTCGTTGTCGTAATCTGTTGGAAATAATAATTTTAATAAATAAATAAATAATTTATATTTGTCTGTATATAGTAATTTTTAGTATAGTTTTGGTACAGTTCAAGTATTTTGTCTGTATATAGTAATTTTTAGTATAGTTTTTGTACAGTTTAAGTCTATTTAGATATTTTGATAAATTTTCCAATTGAATGATTCATATGAAACATTTTAATTTCAAAAATTGTAAAAAATTTGATAAAAATTGTTCTTACTATCCAAGGAACAAACAACGTTGATGATGAACATCAGAGTCAGAAAAACAAGCAGTTTCATCATTTTGGCGAATTTATTTAATTTTAAAATTTTTTTAATAAATTTAAAATTAATTTTCTTATGGCTGGAATGATTGTGTGTGTGTCAGAGTTTGATATTTATATGTTTTTATATGTTATATATCCTTAAATAAAAATGAAATCCAAAAATAGAAATAATTTTCAAGCACATGTGTGATAATTAATTTGTTAATTAGCGCGTTCTGTCTAATTGCTTGCTCATTTATTTATGAATTTTGAAAAATTAAATTTCAGAAATTTTTAGCCAAAATGAGAAGATGTTTAGGTTTCAATTCTTATGTTGCTGGTAAATCAAAATTTAGCCAACGAGGTATAAATTAATATCCTGATATCATATCATGCTCATGGTTTCGAAAAAATGTAATGTATATAATTTTGTAATGTATGTAATGTAATACAAGAAATGTAATGCCTGTAATGTATGTATGTAATTTTCTGTATCTACACGTTTTAAGAATCTGTTTATCTTTTTAAGTTAAAAAAACATCAATAAACCTAACGAAATTTTATTGCAAATTTTTAAAAAATTTATTTTTTGTGAAATAGATTGTGGAAGAGATTTTAATCAGTTGACAGCGGGCAGATGGTTTTTATTTCTTTCCAGCAGTTTCGATAACTTTTCCAATGAGACTGCCAGCCACGTCCTTAATCTTTCCGGCAACTGATTTGCCGACCTCCTTGACTTTGTTAAACACTTCTTTGAAGCCTTTTTTCATACGTAGATCCTTATTTTTGCAAAGAGTAATATTCAAGTTATCACTCAATCAATAGTAGTGGTATAATTTAACAAGATTCATTCTTTCACATGTGTTATGTGTGGAAGTACCAACAACACAAACACACACAACACACACACACAACATACACACACAACACACACACACACACACACACACACACAAGATACGTGCTTACACATGCAACTTAGCACCACACAGATTGCTCGTGATAAGAAGGGATTCCGTTTGCATTGGAACCCAGTCACTGCGTATTAAGGGTAGGCGCATTTAACCAGGTGTCCACAAAATACGTTGTGCATAAATCGCAACAAGGTACATATTATCACAATATGCTATTATTTTGAAATAATAATAATAATAATAATAAAATTTAAAAAAAGATAACACATATAGCATACTTCGTCTTCATAACCTATTGAAAATAATTTAAATAAAGTTAATTTAGAAGCAATTTTCTACGATATTTAACTGAATTACCGAATTAAACAAATTAAATTTGGCACAAAATGAAATATTTAAAAAAGGTAATGTAATAAATTGCTCTCACTGTCATCGCTGTCCACTGACCAAGCAACGTTGATGATGAACATCAGGGTAAGGAAAACTAGCATTTTCATCATTTTGATAAATTTTTTTTAATTTAAAATAAATTTAAATTAATTTAGAATTAATTTTACGACTCAAATTTCCGCGTTTATATACCTTTACATTGAGTTGGATTGAAAAATTAATTAACCTCTAACGCGCAACCGATAAATTAGACTGTTAATTAACACACAACGTCTAATGGCTCGTTTAAAAATTATTTTTAATAAAACTTCGAATTCGTTTCAAGTAACACAGAAGTGTTAGATTGAATCTAGCGTTTTTTTCCTCAAATCTCAATTTTCTAACAGCAGTGCACCAAAGTTAATCCTAACTTAAAAACAAACATCCAGCTGATTAATTAATTTATACTTTCTGAAAAATTTCATTAGAAATCAAATCATACTGATCCAGTAACCACCAATTTTGGGTGCAATAGTTGGTTGAACAAAATTCATGCAACCTGTCATATTACATTTTAAAAACAAAATGACCAAACTAGCAATAATCTGCGAATGAAAGTTCTATAAAATTTGGGCTTCTCAAGAATAGGTTGTGTGTAATTAAATTTGTGCCATAGTTTGGTCTGTGTCTGTGTTTCTTTCTCGAATCCTATGAATTCTTTGATAGTTTCACCCATATTTACTGAGTTCATCTTCTCGATCGATCTGAAACTCAACCCTTACACGCGAAACAAAGCGTGTGCTGGTCAGGTTCTTGGCCAAAAAATTTATCGAATGCGGCGGAGAAGATTCTTGTTCTCTTGCACTGGCTACCTATGAAATATAAAATAATTTTTAAAATTTGTACATTTATGTATAAGTCTCTATCTAAATTATTTCCTAAGTACTTATCAGATATATTAACTGAACCTAAACGCCCCGGTTTACGATCGTCTTGAATGTTCTGAATGGTTGTTAATGCCGGGGGTGGTGATGGGGATAAGCTCCCATCATCTATAAAATGCTCCCATATGGCAAGCGTTTCAAAAAGCCTCTGACAACCAAGCCCAACTCCTGGCCTTCACGCAGCAGAACTGTTTAAACTAACAGGAGAAGGGGCGAAGGCGAATAACTGGCGCCATAACCAGTTGCTTCGGGCAGGTGAAGCTCGTTAGCCTTGGTCGGCTATTTACCTAGGAGAAGGAAAACTCTGACTTCAAACTTCCGCTGCCTTGCGGCATACCTGTTCATGGGAAAGGCTATGGGAGCAAATCCAGACAGAAAACTACACTCCACCACCTGAGTTGCGGTCCAGTAATATCAGGTGCCGGTCCAAAGTCCGGATAGAAAAGAATGGTTGACAGGAGCTTGCTACACTGTCGTAAAAACGCTAATAACACGATGGTAGTCCAAAAAAGTATGCACATACCGGCTCGGACGTCGCCCGGGTGAACAAGGTCCGCGCTGCAGCTTTGGGGACTAGAGGCTGCAGTGTAAAGTATGCTACTGAGTCCCAGAAAGATAGACTGAAGATGGGGTTGACAGTTGGAGTTTGGAATGTCAGGTCATTGTGGCAGACAGGGGCTTACGCTTTGATGAAGAAAGAACTTGAACGATTCAGATATGATGTGGTTGGTCTGTGCGAGGTCCGATGGACAGGAGGTGGAGAAATGGAAGGTGGGAAGATATTATGGTCTGGAACAGAGAGGGAGCACGTCTATGGAGTTGGAATGGTTATTGGCGAAAAAGCAAAAAAAGCACTGTTAGAGTACAATCCAGTGAATGAAAGAATAATGTATGCGAGGTTTAAGGGATACCCGAGAGACATTGATGTGGTAGTGGCCTATGCTCCAACAATGGATCACTCGGATGTAGAAATCGAGGCATTCTACGATCAACTGGAGCAAACATTGAATGTACTGCCAAAGAAAGATGTTAAGATAATCACCGGAGATTGAAACGCAAAGATCGGAAGAGACAATATTGGTTTTGAAGAAGTTATGGGAAAATACGGTATAGGAAACAGAAATAATAGAGGAGAAAGACTGCTGGAATTTGCAAAGGACCAAAAAATGTATATAACAAATACAAAAACACAAAATACAAAAAAAATGGACATGGGAATCACCAGATGGAAAAACAACGAACATGATAGATTTGATTTTGATAGAACAGAAATGGATAAAATTTGTTACTCAGTGCCGTGCTTTTTCAAGTGCAGAGATTGGATCAAATCATCGTCTAGTGTTATGCAACGTCAAGATGAAAATAACGAAGAGACTAAAGTCAGGCGAAAATATCAAAAGAGTGAAATATAGCACAGAAATGTTAACAGAGAAGTTGAAAGACATCAGAAATGTAATAGAAAACAAATTGGATACAAAAACAAAGTACGATATGAAAACAAGAGTCAGTAACTTGGAGAAAGTGCTTAAGACTGCAGCCGAAAAATGCGAAGTAGGGAAAAACATAATAAAACCTTGGATAAGTGAGGAAACTCGGAAACTCGTAGAGGAAAGAAGACAGTTGAAAGCAACAAAAAGACAAAACAACGAAAATGAGATGAAATATAAACAACTATGTTGCAAAATAAAGAAAAGTGCCAGAGCAGATAAAAGAAGATGGAAAAACGATAGATGCGAAAGGGTAGAAGCACTAGTTGGACAAAACAAGAGAGGCGTATCAGCTAGTCAGACAGTTAAAAGGAAAAATGAAGAATACGTCAAGGATTATTAAAGACAAGGATGGAAATGCTCTAACTGAAGGCCAACAAATTAAAGATAGATGGTCGGAATATATCAAGGACCTGCTCACAGATAAAAACACGTATACAAAGGAGGTGTTACAGGCTTTAAAAGAAAGAAAAGTAGTCAATGAGGAAGAAACGGAAATAACATTGGAGGAAGTAATAAAAGCAATGAAGAAAATGAGGAACAACAAGAGCACAGGGAGAGACAGAATTCCCATAGAGCTGATCAAAGCGGGAGGACCAATTGTATGTAATGAGGTTCACAAAATCTGCCAAAAAATCTGGGACAGTGGAAAATGGCCAGAAGATTGGTGTAAATCAATCTTGATCATGTTGCCAAAAAAAGGAGACCTGAAAGACTGCAACAACTACAGATCAATAGCACTGACCCCTCATATGTGCAAGATCATGCTGACGATCTTGAAAGAACGATTGGAGAAAGACATAGAGCAGCATTTAGGAGAAGAGCAGGCAGGTTTCAGAAAGGACAGAAATACAGTCCAGCAAATCCTGATGTTGAGACTATTGTTGGAAGATGCAGGAAGCAGAGGTCAAACAACTTTTCATTGTTTTGTGGATTTTAAGAAGGCGTTTGATTCAGTCTGGCACGAAGGTTTGTGGGCAGCTTTGGAAAGTATGGGAGTGTCAACAAAAATGGTAAGGGTGCTGAAAGGGCTTTATGAGGAGTCAACAATGGCGGTAAAGGTAGGTACAAAGCTGGGAGAATGGATCAAAGCGAGCATAGGAAGTAGACAAGGAAATCCATTATCACCATTACTGTTCTTAGCACTGTTGGAAAGAGCCTTGGAAAAAATGGAGAATGCAGATATTGAGGGAATCGACATTGGAGGCAGAGTGATAAGGGACCTCAGGTTTGCAGATGATATAGATCTGCTAGCATCTGGTGCAGAGGGTCTACAGAAACTGATCGAGTTGACGTACGATGGTGGAAGAAACCATGGACTACACATCAACAGCAGTAAGACAAAGATAATGATTTCGGAAGCAGGTGGAAACAATGATGAATTCCAGATAGGAGCAGGAAAGCTCGAACAAGTGAACCAATTTATATATCTGGGCAGCCTCATAACTGATGACGATAATTGTTCGAAAGAAATTGATAGAAGAATAGCAATCGCGAGAGGAATGTTTGCATCTTTGAAAGTAATATTGAAAAACGGTAATGTATCTACAAAAACAAAGGTAAAGATCGTAGAAGCGTGTGTGTTTTCTACATTGATGTATGCATGTGAGGCTTGGACGTTGAAGAAAAGAGACAAAGACAAACTGGAAGCATTCGAGATGCATTGTTATAGAAAGTTGCTGGGAATCAGTTGGAGACAAAAGATAAGAAACGATGCCATAAGAAAACAACTTGGAAGACAAAAAACTGTGTATGAAAGTGTCAAGGAAAGAAAGCTGGGTATCTTTGGGCACATCTGCAAAATGACAGACGACAGACTGATCAAAAAAGTACAGATGAGAAAGAGGGACTGGAAGAAAAAAGTTGGAAGACCTGTGAGGAAGTGGATGGATGATATCACGAAATGGACGGGGGTTGGAACATTGAGCTCAATGAAGATGGCGAGGGAAAGAAAAGGATTTTGGAGAGATAGAAGAATACCATCGGCCTCAACGGTCCCTTAAGGGATTACAGAGGATCATTGAATGAAATTGAATGAATGAATGAAACGTCCCGGTTTACGATCGTCTTCTTGTTCTCACTTCTTAACTCGTGCTAAGCACTCTTTCGCTAAATCTGCATTTGCTTTTTCTGGCTCTTTTTTCTGGAACTTTCTGCTTAATTATTTGACTACTTCTCCATCACTTACGAAGCTCAGAGCGGGTCTCAAGACCCATCTGTTTGTAAAATTTATTGAGGAGCGCTGTTGATCATCGCGGAAATAGCGCTTTATAAGCTAATTGATTAATTGATTGATAGATGTTTACTGAGTTCATCTTCTCGATCGATCTGGAACTCAACCCTTACACGTGAAACAAATGGTGTGCTAGTCAGGTTCTTGGCTAAAAAATTGATTGAATGTCGCAGAGGAGATTCGGCGTCTGTAAGATGTGTTGAAATTAAACTGCATTTTTATTGAACACTTCATCATCCGCATCATAGTTATGCGCTATATTTTTGTAAGAGAATTAAAAATTTTCGCACTTATATATTTTTCATTCATTCAATAGTATTTATTTTGTGGTTTCAAAGTTGTCTCGATTTTTTTTAAATAAATTTTTTTTTTTTGAAAAATTTTATTATAAATCAAATCATGATCTATTTTTGGTGGAGTTGTTGGATGAAACATTCGGAAAACAGAGTTTATACAGAACCTGGCGCCACGAAAGCCACTTCTTTAGATTTCGAAGTTACGTGTTTTTATGATACAATATTGTAGCAATATGAGTAGAAAGTAGAAGCTATAAGAATTATATTTTTCAAGCTCTATTCAGATATGTATTTTTGACTACATTTTGAAAATTAAAGTTTATTATTGATTTGATTTCAGTAACAATACAATTGATTTTTTGCAAAAAATTTTGTTATTTAAATTGTGTATTTTTTAATTTTTATTTTCAAATTTTCAAAAATATATTTGTTGAGAATTTAAAGGTTCAAAGTTTCTCCATCAACCGAATCATTGTGTAGGTGAGAGATTTTATTCAAATTAGTTACCCGAACAAATGTCCAACTTTGACTTTACCAAATCCGTTGGGTTCTCTTTTACCGCTGACTTTTTTAAGAACCTCATCTGCAACTGCTTTTCCGGTTTTCAAGCCGATATCCTTCAGGATGTCCATGAAGTTTCTTTTCAGTGGAATGTCATACTGCAACGGTATGAGGATCGGGACAATAGTTTATATTTAATATTTATTAATATCATAATGAAATTAATTATATTAGTTATAATTTATTACATTTATAATTTATTTAATTAATTAAATATTCAGATGATTCTATCAAAATTAGTCATGAATATGTTGGGATTTGTAACGAAATCGTCGGCTTTTTTTGCGATCTCATGATTTTACGAATACGGAACTGACAACTGTAATTAAAATAACATTGCACATACAACTTTTCATCAAAAGTAAATCGTTCAAAATGACCAATGAATTTAGATCAAAGAACTTTTTGCTAAATCGCGAAACTTTTTATGACCATCTGAATACTATGAGTTAAATATTTTTGGAACAAAAAAAAAAACTTAAAAAAAATCTTTCTAACGTCATCAGAGTCATCGTCATTGTTACCTGTTAATAATTGCATCAATTTTATGAATAAAATTATTTGAATTATGTGGAAAAAACTTTAATTAAAAATTAAAACAGAACAATGAACCACCTCGTACGAAGACGTTCAGTGCGAGCATGATCACCAGGAAAACATACAACTTCATCATTTTGTCAGATTCACCACTTTCCAGTTTTTCGCCAAATTTTACAAAACAGTTGAATTGTTAGAATTCAAATGAGTGAATTTAGCTTGTTAGTTTGACGGAAGCCTCATATATTTCAAATCTGTACCGACATTTTAAAAAAAATCGTTTGTCACAGGATGGCTAATCAGTTTAATGCCTAACACAATCTATCCTATTAAATTTATAAAAATATTATCTCATCATTATTGTTGCAACAAACCGTTGCGATAAAATGAAGCGGTTTCATTTTAAATCGATAAAATTTTATCGCGAGATTGTTAATTTATTTTTCAATTCACACAGCCCATTGAGGTGTACTCGACAAAAGCAAAATGAGACCTATCACGCTCGCATTTTATGATATTTTTAGTATTTTTGTATTGTATTGTATGGTATTGTATTGTATTTTATATTTTAGTATTTAGTACATCGCGAGGAGTCGCGAGTTGAATCTAAGGACAGGTGTATTTTTAATTAAATCCGAATTGTTATTTGGGTTTCATTTATAATCTTAACATAAGTAGTATCCATTTAATCTATCTCTTTAGTATCTAGTATAAAAATTATTTATTTTATAGAAAATTAATCATAAAATCTTTTATTCAGTGATAGATAACATTTGGATTCATCCCATTATTTTTAGCGACTTTTCGAACTGTTCCTAACAGTAATCTAACGCTCTGTGAAAATATCAAGCAAAGATTAAAAAAATATTTTTAATTCACTTAAATTTTCCACAAAATAAGCAAAATCAAAAACAGCATTAGCAATTGTAACAACAACAAAACAACAACACAACAGCAACACAACACACCAACATTAATAGCAGCAACAACATAACCAACAGTCGGATGATAAGTTTTCCATTTTCGGCTCTGACCGTTTCCTACTCTGACACTTTAAGTCCAGGTGTTGAGTGATGTCTAAATTAGACACGCAGAAGACTAATTTCACGGCCTACTCCTGGGCTATAAAAATACAAAATTTTCAAGCCACAGGTCTACAGGACCGTTATGTAAACCACTTAATTGCCGTTTTGAGACACTGTAAGACTGATTTTATGAGAGTTTGTTAGACTTTGCTTAGACTTTGTGAGACTTTACGAGACAGAAAGATATGTACGAGAAAATTGCGGATCAAATTTAAGTTGGATTCAGACTTTTGGAAAGCATAAAAATGAAGGTTGCACTTTTTTCGGAATAAATTTTTGAAATAATAATAACAAAATACAAATTATTATCTTTTTTAATTATAGAAACATGTATTAGAAGTGCCCAAAGCCTACCTACATGGGCACTTTTTTATTTTCATTTTCTTCATTTATTCAGAAATTCCTTAAAAAACTGCAAGATTAAAAGCAAAATCAGTGTTTGTTATATCTTTTATAGCTGTAGTTACGTCACTTCAAGTTAATCTTTTCAAATTCATAAAATCCAAAACTTTTTCGTTAAACCATTTGATGGCAGATAGTTTTGTAGCAAATTTATTTTTCTGTTTCACTGTATAACTGATCCTTATTGGGCTTTCTCCTGGCAAATGTTTCGACCCGTTTGAAATGTCTGTCACTTCTGTTTCAGAAGGCTATCTTCACACAAAACGAACACAATCCATCAAATTACAATTTGTAATTGAAATAATGGTTTTCACTTTTATCATCAGATCAAAGTTTCAGTATTTTGTGTCTTGCAGCTTACCATGAGACGAACTTGGGAGGCTGTGTGTAATTGAACGTGAATCAAATTTCAAACAACACTTCTTTCCATATAAAAACTTTTACGATTGATTCGTTATTCAGCTATTCTCTAATATTTTATACGTCTGCTCTAATATTTTTAAAATTTAGTCATTTGGTAACTTTTCACCCCACTAAAGCAATCAGAAAGGGGTTGCCACTTGCCGCGGTGCATTTGCCCATTCAAAGATTATCAAACGTAAATTGAAAATAGTATTGTTATAATGCTATACTCCAAAAAGTGTTGCCGGTTTTGACAATTTTTTGTGAACCCGCCAAAAATAATTTGTAGTTACGCTCATGTTTAACGCGATCTTTAGCAATTCATGCTCAATAATTGTGACTAACTTCTTTTCTTTATTTAGTACGGACGTGTGTTTAGATAAATTGAAATTTTATGTGTATTACATTTTTTATTGAAGACCAAGATTGAAGACCAAGACAGCTTATAAATTGTTCATTGCTTAGTTTTGATCCAAACATCTTGTTCAATGTAGTTCGTGTTTCTATATACAAACAAAACCTGTTAGTGCATATATATATATATATATATATATATATATATATATATATATATATATATATATATTGAAGCATTTTATAGCAGATCTTGAATTTTAGCCAATAATTTCTATCATATTTTATTGTTTGAAATTGACAGAAACAAAGCCAAAAAATTGAATTTTCAAAATTTATTCAATTAAATATGATCAAATCGTCATTAATTATCTAATAAATTTTCAGAAATTTATTTTCCAATTTGGTCAATGATAGCACCTCCAGTCTTCACGCCAACATTTGCCAGGTCTTCAAGTGGCAGCTTCTTAAGGAAGTCTAGAAAACTTCTTTTGCCAATTTTGCCCAAAATTTCATCAGCCACTGCTCCGCCTGCCTTCAAGCCAACGTTCTTCAAATCTTCAAGGGGAAGCTTCTTCAGGAAGTCCATAAAGCTTCTTTTCAAACGAAGTTCATCCTGGAACATTTTTGTTAAAAATTAAATCTAATAAACTTTATACTCGAAATTGAAATTTGACGTTTTTATATCACAAAAAATAGAAGTATATAAAGGTAAAAGTTGTACATAGGAAAAGTAAAGTGACATTACAAGTTAACAAATGAATAAAAAACCCATCTCAAATACGAACTTCATAATCATCGTAACCTGGCGAAATTTATTTAGAATATTAATTTATTGTATTAAATTTAATTACTCTAATTTATAAACAAAGTTTATTTAATAAGATGAAAAAATAATAATTTAATTTTACTATTTCAAAAAACAAAATTTTTCTAAAACAAAAAAGGGAGAAAGTTACTAACTGTCCTCCTCACAGAGGACAACGTTGACAACGACCAACAACATAAGGAGAGCGAACATCTTCATCATTCTGAATGCTTTCTTCTTGGCTACTGTGATCAACTTCTGAATTGTTGAATACTCTGAGAGACTGTTTGATCTGTAGAGCTTTTGCTAGGCTATTTATACCAAAAACAATTTATAAAATTTAAAAGAAATTTGAAAACTTTAACAAAAATTCGCATTTTCATCGCGAAAGTGGTAATTAATTTTTTCTCTAACACAGTGTCGATAATTGAGTTGTTCCTGGTTTGAAAGTTGTTTAATTTAATTTGATTGTCTCACTTACCTGTTAGAGCCAATGCAGCTTAATATGATACTCGTACATAATGTATGATTTGGTTATGATATTGTGAACGAAAACTCGATTTTATCGAAGTAAGGAATAGAGGTGAGCATGGGAACGGGATTCGCGGAAATTCCATTGCCCCCATGACAATCCCATGGTTCCATGGGAATTTGTAAAAACTAATTTTCATAAATGGGAATTTTAAGGAGTAGGGAATCACTGTTCGACAATCGGGATTGATCTACGGGAAAGGGAAAAATGCGAAAAACAACGTGTACATGACCAAAATTTAAAATATCAATTTTTATCAAATGTATTGTGTGTGTGTGTGTGTGTGTGTGTGTGTGTGTGTGTGTGTGTGTGTGTGTGTGTGGTTGAATCTTCTGAGAATTATGGAAAATAAAAAATGATGTAGCTAAATTAATTAACAAATTTTTTAATTGCAAATGATACTTACTATGATATTTTTTATGATCCACACATAAACACACACACACACACACACACACACACACACACATACACACATACACACACACACATTTAGGCATTTAGGGATTTGTGGATGTTATGATTACGTGCCACTATGTTATTGATCCTAAATTTTGCATGTGAATAACAGCATTTAGGTGTCTGCACGTTTCAAATTGAAACGACAGCCTCAAATCAGATGCTACTATTTACAGCGCTTGCTTCCAAATTTCCCATGTACAATCAACATTTTTACAGAACTTCTTTTGTATCTTTTTTGTTCCTACACACATGCACTATTTAGGCGTTTCTATATCAGGAGCAGCTTATCTCAGTTTGACAATAGATTATGAAAATTTTCAGTCGGATAAATAAATTAAACGCAAAATTATTTAAAGACACATTATCCTTCCTTTGAAAACTCTTTATTTAAGAATGTCTCGAGTTCTTTCGGCCCCTTCCTAAATCTAGCTCTGGGTATAAATGGCGTTTTTTTACTAATTTCACCAACTTTTTTGCACGTTTGTAGTGCAATCATCACACGTCGAGTTCATGTCGTTGTAGTTCATGTCGAGTTTAAACTCCTTCCAAACTTTCTTGCATAAGTACAGTGCAGATTATTTTAGAAGAAACTTTACATAGTGTCATACCCGCCAGAATGGTGGAATTACGCTATATAATTAAATATTGTAATCTTGTTATATTTGTTATCTTGTTATATTTGTTATCTTTGCCATTTCTCAATCAATTGTAAACCATGGAATCTTTTCATGCCATAGAGGCTATATAAAAGGCAGGAGTGGCAAAGCCATACAGCGAGGTTTGGTTGGGAAGTTATAAATTGGATTTATGTAGTTACTTGAGTTAGTTTATTGTTTCTATTACTGTTGGCAATCGAATAAACGAACGAACCAAATTCGCGTTTAGAGTAGTTGTGTTCATCTATTTTGTTCATCTATGTTGTATCAAGAATTTTGAACCTACGGAATAACGATCGTTGCAAGCTACAACACTGGTGTTGAAAATAGAGAGATCTTTTGAATTCATAACACCAGTGTTGGTAGTTACGAGCGTCAAAGAGTTACAACAGATTGAACCTCGAAGCAGTATATACTCTAATATTAATGGTGAATATGATATATTTTATATAGGCTTATTTCTTTCAAGTTAATTTTTTGAAATGTATGAAATATTACACAGAGTTTGACTGTTTTGACAATTTTGCATGTGGAAACGGTGTTTTGGAATAAAAAAATAATTTTCTTCCGCTACTTCAAACAGTTTTATTTAATTTCAATTATTTGCCAGCCTAGTTTAATGAAATAATTAATTGATTCTATTTAATTAAATTTTATTGTAAATATTTTTTAAAAACGTTTCAACATTCATGACGAAAAATCAGTTATTTTCATTTTTTTTTTATTACACATATATTTTCTAAATGAATTTGATTTGTAGGTAACAACTATCAAAATTATTAAAGAAATTCATAGAGATTATTTTATTTAAAAAGATAAATTGCAGTAAATTTAATCAGCGTCCAGAAAATTTATTTTCCAATTTCGTCAATGATTGCGCCTCCGGTCTTCAAGCCAACATTGGCCAAATCTTCGATCGGCAGCTTCTTAAGGAAGTCTAGAAAACTTCTTTTGCCGATTTTGCCCAAAATTTCATTGGCCACTGCTCCGCCTGCCTTCAAGCCAACGTTCTTCAAATCTTCAAGGGGTAGTTTTTTCAGAAAGTTCAGAAAACCTCTTTTGCCGATTTGGCCCAAAATTTCATCGGCCACTGCTCCGCCTGTCTTCAAGCCAACGTTCTTCAAGTCCTCCAGTGGAAGCTTCTTCAGGAAGTCCATGAAACCTTTCTTCATTGGCAGCAGCTGCGAGTGTTATTTTTTTTCAAATTCAATTTCTAATTGCGATTTCATCAGAAATTAAAAAATTTTGTACTCGTATTGCTGCGTACGTGTGCGTGTTAATAAATAGAAATGTGCATAGTTAGTTATATTAGTAAAATCACAAGTACATACCTTGAAATCATCATCTTCATAAAAATAATCTGTTCATAAAAATATTTAATACCAAATTAAGTCATTTTTTAATTATTTAAAAACATAATTAGACCAATTTAACGAAGACATTAGCAAAAGAACCAGAATTACTGACCGTCTTGAGACAAAACGACGTTGAAAGCAACCATCAGCATGAGGAGGGCAATCATTTTCATCATTCTGAACGTCCTACTAGCAAATAACTAATAACCTCTAAGAGACTGTTTGATCGGCACGGCTACCAGCAAACTTTTTATAGCAAAAATGTTGACAAATTGATATTATACTGATATTTTTATCGAACCAGTGCTAATTAAACATTTTTTTAATCCTTTTTTAATTTTTGTTTTTCATGACTGTTTTAATTTGTTTCACCACTCAACACGCAGCATCTAATTGAATAGCCTTCGGAGTTCAGAAGCTTTGAATTGAATTTTACAAATTGCACATATCTGCCTCCCACGTGCAAACACACAAACGCACACACACACAAACAAACAAACTCACAGACAAACATACACAACATTTTTATTGCACCAGATAGTAAGCGGAGATTTTGTGAACACAAATGATCTCTAACGAAAGGTCAAGTTCCTTGGCTACTGCGTTTCCGTGTTTCGGTATTTAGTTTCATATTATTTTGAAGTCATTAAAAACCTTCGCATACTTTTATAGGCAAATTTATTTAATTAATATCATTCGAATAATTCTTCTAATTTATATTTTCTGTTTTATTTCTTCTCACGTTCCCGAAAATTATTACGGTTAATGAGATATTGGTGGAAATTTATTAATAAGAAAAAGTTTCCTGAAAAACCAAATTAAAGAAGCCATCGAGTTAAATAAACAAGTATGAAGAAATGAAGCGACGACATAAGCTTCACTGGCGTCGCCGACAAAAACGCCGACATCAACAACATTAGCAACTAAAATAACTTGAAACAGACGAACAAATGAGAGATTGTTTGTTTAGGTTAAACATACAAACAGATACGCGTAACATATAATGTATTTGTTTATGAATTCATTTGTTGGTATGTATGTTTATGTGTTATTGTGTGTGTTTGTTTGTGTTTACGTGTGTGGTGTGTATGTTATTAATGTTAAAGAGCAATGACTAAAATACATAAGTACTTCGTTATTATTATTGTTGTTATTATTATTGTTGTTATTATTATTATTATTACTATTGTTACGACATGATTCGTCCGCCGATATGATGATGAAGATGATGACTGATACTATTATTATTATTAATATTATTATTATTATTATTGCTGCTACTATTATTATTATCGTTAATCATAAAATTATTGTTGCTGTTAGTGTTATTGTTGTTGTTGTACCAATTGTAATGATAATTATGGTAATTGTTGTTGCTGTTATTGATGTTGTTGTTGTTGTTGTTGTTGTTGTTGATGTGTTGGGTGGACACTGGAACGATTGAATAGAGGTAGTCTTGAAAATTTTGTCCTATGCCCAACGTGTTAGGAAAGCCTGTCGGAAATGAATGAATGAATGAATGAATGAACGAACGAGCAAACGAATTAATGAATGAATGAATAAATGAATGAATGAATGAACAAATGAATAAATGACTGAATAAACGAATGAATAAATGACTGAATGAACAAATGAATGAGTGAATGTAGGTATGAATGAAGGAATAAAGAAAATTATTTGATTTTAACAGCTTATATAACATTCAATTGCGTTTTGAAACATTTTTTTAAATACAAAAAAACCAATTCATTCATTTTTTTCTGTCAGTTTATTCATTCATTCATTCATCTACTCATTCATCCATTCTTCCAGCAATCCACTAACCAAACGTTGATAAGGTTTGGGGTGGAGGTGAAGTCGACGATACGGCAGGTGGTCTTGTTATGTTATACGAGCCGTAGTTCTGAAAGTTTAGTGAATATGTCTGGCTGGTTTCTGAAAAGAAATTTGTATGCATCATCGTCGTCGTCATCACGATAATCATTATCAATCATAAAAGCTATAATAATACCCTAATAATATGGATTATAATAATATTAATAATAATGATAACAATATTGATAATAATAATATTAATAATGATAATAATAAACCTGGAAACATGTAGTTATGGCCGATAACATGACCAAATGCTGATGTTTTCGATGATGATGATGATGATAATAATGATGACGACGACGACGACGATGAAGAAGATGATGATAGAGGTATGTCTAATGGCTTTCGGATGGTTCTACTGCTGCTGCTGCTGCTAACGCTGAATGAATGAGTGGATGAATGAATGGATGGATGAGTGGATGAATGAATGAATATATGAATGAACGAGCGAACAAACGAACGAACGAACGAATGAATGAACGAAAGAACTAGTGCTGTTATTATTTTTATTTTTATTTTTACTAACCCCATATCATAATCGTATCTTGATCTTTCAATTAGTGCCAGAGGAGGGTAGAACAAATTTGATTGGCTATCAATATCATCGTTATTATTATTATTATTATCACTATCATCGCCACCATTTTTATTTCTACTTGTCTTGTTAGTAGCCTCGGTGGTAACTGCAGTCGCGACAGCTAAGTTGTGAGCGTTTTTGTTAATGACGTCACTGCAGTTATTATTATCATTGTCGTCGTCATCGTCATCATTTAGACGATTATTGTTGTTATTATTATTATTATTGTTGTTGTTGTTGTTGTTGTTGTCGCTGCTAACATTAGCGGCGTTTGAGCTGTTGTTAATTGCCTCGACCACTTCGTGGCCATTGCCGTTGCTACCCGTACTGCTACTTATCACGTTACTACTGGTAATGAGATTGCTACACAAGTAAGGAGAGGGCGGAGCTTGATAGATTGACAGATTGTGATGATGATGATGAGGACGGTGATGAGTAGAATAAGGGTGAGGGTAAGTAGGGTAAAATGACGACGACCTTTGCGAATAAGATGGGTGATGAGATGGGGTCGGGGTTATGACGTTGTGTGGGTGTTCAAATGCAAATGCGTTGTTGGTGAGGACCGTTGGGGAAATGGGATCTAGGGTGAATGAGTTTAGGTGGGAAAACCTGTGAGGGTGTTGTTGGTGTTGTTGGTGGTGGTGCTGTAGGCATAACTCATTGCTGGTTGGGGTGGTTGTGTGATGATGATGATGGTGGTGGTTTGGTATGGTGTTTATAGTAGTAAGAAGTCTATTGATGTCTGTTTGTTGTTGTTGATGATGCATGTTGATGTGTTCATGCTGTTGTTGTTGGTGATGAATTTGTTGATGATGGGTGGATGGGTGGTGACCCGGAACCACCCTAAACTTCTCCTCCCTTCTCCATTTCGCCCTCCTATTTGAGAACCACACCTATGGGGTTGCCATTGGAAAAAAAATTGAAGACTCTTTATAAGGCAGCTTTGATGTAAGTAGGGAGTTATTTAATTATTTATCAGTTTCTTTACGATTAACTAATTGCAAATTAAAATTTCAAGTCGCCCATAATCATTAACATTCACACACCACATGACCTCATCATAACTATCATCAACATCGTCATCTTCATCGTCATCATCGTCATCATCATCATCGTCATCATCATCATCAACAACAACATTATCATTATCATCATCATCATCGTCATCATCATCATCAACAACAACATTATCATTATCATCATCATCATCGTCATCATCATCATCAACAACAACATTATCATTATCATCATCATCATCGTCATCATCATCATCACCAACAGCACCACAATCATCATCATCATCGTCAACAACAACAACATTATCATCATCATCACAATCATCATCATCATTATCATCATCATCAGACTTGTATTCTCGCTTCGGGTAGTTCAAGTTTTTGTGCCAATCTCTCCCTCGCAAAGACATCAGGGTAGTGGGTTTTGTCGAATTCTGATGGTGACGATGATGATGATGATGATGATGGCGATGATGATGATATTGGTGAGTACAGCAATGGAAGTGATGAATATGATCATCTATTCATCAAAAAATTCTCATGAATATGTATGAAAAATTATGTTTTTTCAACGGTTTACTAATTTTGACTCTTACCAGACATCCAAGTGGTTTGGTATTTAAAGGTTTTTATCATTTTCGATCACAGCAGGTGCACTTACACTTAAAACTTTGACCCGTCCTCAGTGCTGATGTACCTGATGTACCTAGTCTACCACTATGCGAACTGCCAACATGTGTTAAGTTAAAGTTGTTTAATCACATACACTCGCACTGCTGCTGCTGCTGCTGATTGTTTGTTCGTTGGTTTCGTGACGTCACAAAGTGACGAATTTGTAAACGTCATCACTCTTAATTGTTTGGTGTGTATGTGTGTATGTGTGTGTGTACTTGCACGCGCTGTCGATGTATTTTTTTGTTTTTATTTCAGAAATGTCCTAATTAACCTCTCTCCAGAGAATCGATTTGTTGGGTACTGAAAGATGTCCTATTCCTCTGCAACTTCCTCTTCAAACGCATGCGTACCTGTTTCTCTACGTCACTTCCGGTTTCGCGATCACGTGATGCTGTAGTCGTTGACGACGTAGTTGTGGCTGTGGACGCAAGAGTGATTGCGGCTGACGATGACGTCATTGTTGTTGTTGGTGTTGCGTGGAGGTCTGTGTATTCTTTGTTGCCGTTTGTGTTGTTTAGTGTGGTTAGTGTTAGTGTTGTTGTTGTTGTCGTCGATTCGTTATCATCTTCATCACAAGAGTCGTTAATGTTGTTGTTCAGTTTATCTGTTGGATTAATATTGTCGTTATTGATGTTATTATTGTTGTTGCTATTGATAAAATATTTTTGTCATGGTTATTATTATCTTGTTGTTGTTGTTGTTGTTGTTGCTGCTGCTGCTGTAACCTTTAAAACATTCCACTCGAGAAACCAAAATGAATAAAGTTTTTTTTTAAACTGGTGTCATACCATATCATATCACATCTTAATGTTAACAAAACTGCTCTGTGCACGATAACGAATAAATTATTTTTTTAACTCTTAAGAAATAAAACAGTTTTTAAAAGATGGTCAACTTAATTAATTTCTACTATTAGGACGATTGCGCCAAAAGGCGAATGATTCTAAATTTACATCCGGAAGATACGATACGATACGACCATGATTTTTTTTTCGATTTTCAAAATGACGTCACGACTGTCAGGATGTCAAAATGACGTCATGACGATGATTTTGTCTATGAGGATGATTTGGATGATGATAATGACAAGGGCTCGTGCATAAAAATACTATTACTAATACTCATATTCATAATTATTATTAATTTATAATAATGATAATATTAATATTATTATTATTATAAAAACAATAAAACATAAAAAAAATTGAATAATTGTCAACTGCAGTAAAAACAGTTTGAATATCCATATAAAAAAAATAACCAATGACACTACAAAACCAAACATAACCAAAGACACTACAAAACCAAACATAACCAAAGACACTACAAAACCAAACATAACCAAAGACGCGACAAAAATAACCAAGGGCAGCACTAAAACCAACATAACCAAAGACACTACAAAACCAAACATAACCAAAGACGCGACAAAAATAACCAAGGGCAGCACTAAAACCAACATAACCAAAGACACTACAAAAACGAAACATAACCAAAGACATTACAAAAACAACAACAACGACGACGATGACGTCAAAAAAAGGAAAAAAAATTCATGAACGATTTCACGGGCCAACGAATGCATGCAGCTCCGGGCATTATATTTCACGCTTCACTGGTCTCTGGGTCTTCATTGAATTTTGATCAAACGTTCGTGCGTATTTCTACGCGCGCGTACGAGTGTGTGTGTGTGTGTGAGTGTGTGTGTGTGTGTGTGTGAGAGAGAGTGAACGCGCGCGTGTGTGTGTGTGTGAGAGAGAGAGTGAACGCGTGTGTGTGTGAGAGAGAATGAACACGCGCGTGTGCGTGTGTGCGCGTGTGTGTGCGTGTAGCGTGTATACGTTTTTTGTATGTATGTACCTATGTATGTGTGCATTGCGTATATGCATTTGTAAAATATTTTATACGTGTTGGATGAAAATTTTTTTGTACGTATGTATGTGTGTGTATTTTTTGTTGTATATATGGGTATGCTGTTTCTCCTGGTATCTAAATGCATTTTTTGTGTTATCTTTTAAAGACATTTTTAGCGAGTTTGCATGCTGTAACAGTTTCTACGTCTGCCAGATTCTGATTTTTTAAAGAATAATAATGAAAAAGTGTTTTCGTGACGTTATGTTTTCTATGTTTATGTGTGTATGTTGAGATTTTTGAGTCTATTTGTTTGTCTGTATCTGTTTGTTTGCTTGTATGTTCATGTATGCGTGTGTATGTGTTTTGATCTTTTTTTTCCTCATTAGCAAGTGAGTCTGAGAGGAATGGTTTCAACAAGTGTAATCTCAGTTGTATGGGTCACTATTATACATTTATGTAGGTATGTATGTGTGTGTGTGTGTGTGTGTGTGTGCGTGTATGTGTGTGTAGGTTTGTATGTGTTTATGTATGTTTGTATGCGTGTTTGTGTATGACAAAATGTATACCTTCTCGTTTGTACAAAGGATTATGTATAATACTTTTCAATGATTAGACAAAAATCTAACCTAAATACGGAAAATTTTTTGAATCATCATTATCATCAGCACAGGCAAATCCACCATCTTCGTCATCGTCACCATCGTTTGGATGCTGATGATGATGGTGATTTTGATGATGATGTTGTTGTTGTTGTTGATTTAAGAAGACGTTTTTAGTAAGGGTTTTATATGTCGGTTGGCTTGTGGCCCAAATGTCTGCCATGTTTTCTAGCATTGTGGTCGTTGTGGTTGGTGCGTTTTTGTAGTCGTAGCAGTTAAAAACATGGCCGTTGTTTGTGGCTATGACGTCATAAATGTTGTTGTTGTTGTTTTTTGCGTTGTTGTTGTTGTTGTTTAAAGGCATCATATGCATGGGTAGTTGTTGCAAATGTTGTTGTTGTTGTTGTTGTTGTATGCTGCTGTGTG